AATTTTTCATACTTATGGTCTTTCAAGCAATTAAGGTCTTCTGTTAAAGTTTTGATGCTGTATTGGATGCAGAAGGTAGTTTAATTTGCCATCATGACAGTAGTGACAACAACAAAATTATTCTAAGATCAGAGAAAATGACTAAAGTAAGATATTTCCTTTTTACACAAAAAAATGCATGTTAATATCTAGAAGTCTACCACACCCTCTCACATCTGACTTATATATATGAGATTAATAGGTACAAGTAAACAGTGTGTATTTACACCCAGTTTAAGTAATGACAAGATCATCTTGTGCAAGCCTAATCACTTACTGGAATACAGCCATAACATACACTTTGTACTTTATCAAACCTGTACTCTCCTGTTGTTTTGATCTTCTAACATTAATCTTAATTAATTGGTTGTCTTTGTGCTGGTGCTGTGTATTGATCATGAGAAGCCACCATCATCATCCTGTATTGATGATTTATCTCTTAAACCTGTCCAAGTATCCACACAATTTCCATTGGTCAATGTCAGCAGTGTTTACCATTACACAGATATCAATGTAAATCACCCAATATCATTGCCTTAATGCTGATTTGTACGTTGTCTGCAGGCTGTTTATTGAATTTAGGCTTTGTGATAGGTCTACAAACCTCAGATCAACAAGAAGAGACATTGAGATACCCAGTGGGCATTGGTGGGAGGCAGCACAGGGACAGTGAAGTCATCCGAATGGAGATCAATACTTCCTGTAACAATTGAATATGTGCCTGTAGCTTCATGTAATGACGATGTAGGAGCTTTGTGTTGTGTCGTGAGATAATAGGGGCAGTTAAGGCAATGTGTGTATTGGGATGCAGATAGTTTTTCCAGGTCTTTGGTCTCATATCCACGCCCGAGTAAGTCTTGAGTGTTTGCTGGTTTCTCTTGTGTATTGTTAAAGGTCACTTCTCCTGTCGAGTGTTCATGCTTGGGTAATTACATATCCTATATGTTGCCACACCAGCAAAATGGAGGTTTATTGAACCCACGTCTTTCTGTAATGTGATTTCTATGTGCCATGGATTAACTTACGCAGGTTGAATCTGTTGAAGGAATGGCTGGTAGGTTACTTACCTTTATTATGGAAGTACATGTAGGTTTAGACTGATACCAGTTCAAGCTGAAGATAAAGTTTGCTGTTTTTTAAATGTGTTTGACATGTACCCTGAGTTAGGGCTAAAACCCATTGCTTGTTGTAGGTAATGTGTGTGGTGCTAAAGACAACATTTCTCTGTAGTAAACAACCAGTTGGTCAGGACTATATGAACAAGTCCATGGATTAGCCTGTATGTTATATTTATTCCTGGTGGATTGTACCTATGTCACCATATCCATGTCACCTAAAACCGAGATCATGCAGAGATTTTTTCTCAACATGGGAGCATCTGTCTACATTTGGTTGGTTCATTCACTAATCTGAAGTTATTCCTTCAGAAATTATTTCCCATATTAGGAAAGTATTAATTAAATCATATTGAGGATATACAAATACAATGTAGATACTATCAAGATGTGTATTTTGCCTTTTATATCTTGGTGAGAACATATTGATACAGTAGGCTTTGCTGATCAATTCATGGTTTGAAAATGTTTTGTGTGTTCATATATAATAATATATTCTAGACTTGTTTTTTAGTCAACATAGAATTGTCAGTAAATTTCACTAGTTATGTATAATATGTTTCTGCATGGTAGTTTGGTGACTTGATTACATTTTACAATGTGACTTTTTTCCCATAAATTATGTTAGAGAGAGGTAATCATTTCCCAGATATAATAGGAGTATGTCCCACAAGTTAGTGTAGGGTAATTTCGTGTCACAATAGAATCTGATTTTGTCCCACAAAATTATTATAGAAGTGTGTTTTGTGTCCCAGTAGAATATGATTTTATCCCAGAGTTAAGTGGAGCGAAATTATTTAGTGTCTCAGTAGATTAGGACTTGTTCGAAAGCTTAGTGGAGAGATTTATTTAGTGTTCCAATAGAAAATGATTTTGTCCCTCAGTTTAATAGAGAGATTGATTTATTGTGCAAATAGATAATGATTTTGTCCCTCAGTTTAATAGAGAGATTGATTTATTGTGCAAATAGATAATGATTTTGTCCCTCAGTTTAAAGGAGAGAATTATACATGTGTATTAAAATGATTTGTTGATAAGATATCGTCTGATGTTTTATTGATGAGATATGTGATGATGTTTCTTACTTTATTTGGTGTGATTTGATTTCTCATCTTTTGTTACTGTTGGTGTAAATTGTGACACAATGATTGACCATTCTGTTGACCTGAAACTTGATGTGTGTCACAGGATGGGCAAAACAGCTGTGACCAACTGTACTTTTACAATTTTCGTTTAAGACATATTGGAATCATGTGTATTAGATTAAGAACAATAAATCTTTGTTCTGATATCTCAAGTAAGAGATAATGCCATCTGTGTACCAGAATTAAATTATTTCAGGGATAGACTTGTAAAAAGTAGGAGAATGGTGATCAATATTTTTGCCTTGTAAAACTGGGTTAATCATATATTCAGAACTTTTAATATATACAATGACATGATACTGGAATGTTTTAAGCTGTTTACATTGTAATATATAATGAATAGGTAAACAGGTTATAACTATAAAAGAAGATAGCCAGGAAGTTATTTACTTACTGGTAACATTTAGCAAGCTATAGAGAAAGATCTCAGTGACTTATACTTGGTTGTGGTTGTTTGAGTTCAACAAATTCTCAGCTGATAGGACCTGTCCATTAATGTCACATTATATGGGACTTTTACTGTCATTTCTTCAAATAATAATTTTTATTTGTTCTGTACATATTTTGTCTTCTTGAATTAGGATGACTTAAAAAACCAAATGATGTGGGTATTTTCCCAGTGGAAGAACTCCAGGCTATGACATTACAGCTATTATTTACAACAGTAGCTAAAATTATAATTAGATGAAGTTTTGTTGGTGTGATGATGATGATGATGATGATGATGATGATGATGATGATGATGATGATGATGATGATGGTGGTGGTGATGATATTCGATGATGATGATATTTGATGATGATGATGATGATGATGATGATGATGATGATGATGATGATGATGATGATGATGATGATATTTGATGGTGGTGGTGGTGGTGGTGGTGGTGGTGGTGATGATGATGATGATGATGATGATGATGATGATGATGATGATGATGATGATGATGATGATGATGCTTTGCATGTTAGCATGTTACTTACTTATTTTGGTTAAAATGCCAGGTAGAGTCATTACAATTTTTGTAATGAAAACTATATACACATGACAAAATTAGAGGACTAACACAGTGGCTGTTAATCTGTCTACCTCATGGTTACTTTTATTCTCTGAGATTATCATAAAATCTTGACTAATTTTAAAATAGTGATACATAATGCTATGTTCATGCAATAAGAGATTAATTTAATATATTCCTAATAGTTTGACCCATCGTTTCTTAAAATAGGGCAAAATAATCCGGTAGAGATGATACAGTCAGCCTAACTCGTCAGCATTCTAGTTTTCTATATTAGTAAGAAATTGGTTTCATCAAAAGCTGAATAATATCATTAATGTACAAGCCTTCAGACATATTGATCATGCTGTGGTTACAAGTGTGATATCTAACAATGAGAAGTTTTCTCGCATGAAGTTTTACTGAATTATCATGGTCAGTAGACTGTATGTCTATTAGATGTTTGTATTTCACATAGACAACTTTATTTTCATGTTTCATGATTTTTTTTCTTTATTTTGTTTAAATTTAACCGCGGGATTAATATAGCTACATTTTTTTTGTTTCTATAATAAGTTCATGTTTTGTTGTTATGGGGTTTAACATCCTTACAACAGCCAGGTTCATATGTGGATGGTTATTGAGAAGAGGTGGACCAATCTGTTGTGTTCTTGTACCAAAGATAAAATATAAAGCAGTTTCTGTAAGGCTTCAGGGCTCTCACCAGTGTTATAGTATATACTGGTATAAAACATCTTACTTAGCCAATCTGTATTGGTTATATTATAATCTGACCTTGTATAGGAACATGTGAGTCAAAGTCTTGTAGGCTGTTACACTCACAGATGTATGAACTCCTGTAAACAACAGGGTAATGAACCTTCAAACAGATGACCAAATTAGGATTGGTCGGCCATCGACATCATCACTGAATACTAGAATGATTCCCTAGAAACTGGTACAACTACAAAGATTTAACTGATAGACAAAATTTGGCATGATTATCAGCGATTATGTTTGATGTTGTGTGGTGTGAGTGAATTTAAAATTTAAATAATGCAGTTGTAAAATTAAATATCCCTGATGTGGTAGTTCAATTGCTAATGAACGTCTATAATGATTTAGGAGCATAAAGATACTACTGCTCCCTAAGCTAACCAGTCAGAGACTTACAAGCTAGGTATTGTCTGGTCAACAGTAGTTTTCACTGTTTCACTGTTGTGGTATTAAGAATTGACATTGTACTGTATTGGGAAATAAAATTGTGTGAGATGATTTATTTGTAGAAACAACACATTCATGGTTTAGATCATGAATGTCAGACTGTGACGTAAACGGATAGTATTTTCTACTGTGACATTTACATTTGTGAACATATATAGAAATGCACAAGAATGTAATTTGGTTTTGAAATCTAGATAGTGGTTAATGGTAGACGAGATACACTGTGATGTATAAAGTGCACTGTGTGAACAGTTGATGTATTGACGTCATCACTACAGCCTGGTACATTGATTTGTTTCCCATGTTAGATTGTCACCCTTTGATGTATTTCCTTCCAACGTTTTTGTGATAACACGATACACAATTTATACTGTATTGAAATTTTAGAAATAATTAAAATGTAAATAGTTTACTTAGTGTTTAGTCTATATGTTGGTTGTTATGTATTATAACAAACTGTTTCACTTTCTGTACTTACAGAGTAGGGTGGTGTGAGTAATGCCTGTCCTAAACATGGACACCCTCCTTCGGCTGCGGCGGGACCTATCAGCCACAGTACCGAAGGAGGTCGTCTCCACAATGGCCAGCGCCCTTAGTGATGTCACAGGGGGAGGCAATGACGTTACATCACCCAGCGGAAATGGTACAGACTTCGCGACCACACCAGCCACCGGCTTCAACAAATTCAAAGATATGGTCTGGGATAAAATAGAATCCTGTAAGTTATCATGTTGTTGTTGTGTTTCCTAAAGTAAACACAGAATTTATCTGTGAAACAGGAGAGTTGATAAACAATTAACAATCAAACAAGATGACATAATGTTAGGATTTATCACTGGAACAAAGTATCCAAACCGCTGGCATTTTATGAACCTCTTCATGAAATACTACCTTTGATAGTGATATGAAGGTGTTTCAGTTCTCCAGGTATATTCTAATAATTTAAATATAGTTTCTCAGCAGAAATTTTGAAGATAGTATTAACATATGGTTATATATTTGATCTGTCAATAGGCACTAAAGCATCTTTGTACAGTATAAACAATGTAAATCTAGATTGAGAACAGACTTTTTCAATGGTCTGGTATAAATTCAGGTAAAGAATTAACATGGTGAATCAAGACAGAACAGACTTGCTCATTGGTCTGGTATAATTGTAGATAAAGTATATACGAGGTGAGTCGAGACTAATAATAGACTTGTTCAGTGGTCTTGTATATTAAAAGATAAGGAAAGTTTCACTTTGAATTAATGTTGCTTGTGTTACAGTGGGCCTTCCAATCTGGGCATTAGTTCTCATTGCTATTGGAGCTGGGCTTTTCTTACTCTGCTGTCTCTACTGTATATGTAAAAGATGCATATGTCGAAAGAGGAAAAAGAAAGACCAGAAGAAGGGGCTGAAGGGAGCTGTCGACCTCAAGAGTGTTGCATTGCTGGGAAATGCTATCAAAGAAAAAGTACGTACAGGGGGCCTAGTATTTCCCGAGTACATTGATGTTTGTGTCTGAAAAAGTAAATTTAGCCATATGATCAATTTCTTCAAATTACATTCAATATTGTTATGTCCCTTTATTGACTGAAAAATAAATTGTGTTCAGCATTGAAATAAGGTATAATTCAGTTAATACTCAATTTATTTCACCTTATTTCTGTAATAATTCAAACTCCTGAAGACAGACATCTGCCTCCATGTCTGATTCATTCATTTTCATTGATAATTGTAAGTAAGGAGTATGTTTTAGCTAGTGACAGATTTACTGATTTCCTGTTCCAATATCTGTTATAATGGAGAATCCTCGTTAAGAACGTATTCGGTTGTATTGACAGGTTCAACCTGACCTAGAAGAGTTACAAGTGAACATGGAAGATAACGAAGATGCGGAGAGCACAAAGTCTGAAGTCAAACTTGGAAAACTTCAGTTCTCACTTGAATACGACTTCCAGAAAGGGGAGGTAATTATCAGCATTTGACCAAGATATTTGCATTGTGTACTCTTCATAGTTTTTACATTATCATTCATTAATGTTGATTTTCTATAATCATGTTTAGATATGTCTTAGTTTACTCTGATAGCTGTTACATTTACCTCCACCATCTGATGTCAGGTTTTGAACTAAGTTCATTCATGAAACATATTCTGTTACATATCAAACTCTTACAGCCAATCAAAAGGTTATACAAATTTACTGTATTTAAACAGTTGTTGGACCTGATTGAGACAGAATTGATAATATTTAGGTGAAACAAAAGGAATGCTGTGTATTTTTTAGTTGGCTGTTGGTGTGATACAAGCAGCTGACCTACCGGGAATGGACATGTCAGGAACATCTGATCCATACGTCAAAGTTTTCTTCCTCCCGGACAAGAAAAAGAAGCATGAGACCAAAGTTCATCGAAAAACGCTAAACCCTGTCTTCAATGAAACATTTGTGTTCAAGGTTAGTTTTCAGGCTTGTGTTAATACATATGTACTGGAAATATTTTCTTTTTCTGTAAAACGTTATTTCAGTTGTTATGATGTTATTCTCTGTGCACACCAAAACCAAACTTTAATGCCAAGAGAAATACAGAGATATGTCCTTTGTTATCGGACTGAATAATAGAAATATTTAAAATCACTTTAAATCTAATCTGAAACAAACCTGAGTTTATATATGGCCAGGAGAATGGAGGTTTATTATTCTACATTGTTTTACATTATTTGGTGTGTAGGTTCTAACTTTATACATTAACTACTCCTTACCTGATTGTTTAATACAATCCAAAGTCCTCTTACTGGAGTTATTTCAATTCGTTTATTTATTGTTGAACTTTGAAAACTTTAATAACCAAGATATCTCAGAGGGCTATTTCATGGAAACCTTGAAATCTCAGAAAGCTCTGAGAAATATTTGAAAAATTAGATAGTAGAATTACCTCAGTTATTGCTGTAATTTTGTAGAAAAGTTAGAACACCCTAGATGGTTGTAAGTGCTTTTATTCAAGGCAACCTGATTACTTTAGTTAGCCTGTAGTTCAGAATCACATACTTCCAACCAGGACTTATTACTTTAGATACACTGTAGCTTAGTGTGATCTCTGGAAAAAATACCTTTGATAGTTTGGATTGATTTCCTGGAATACTAGAATTCTCCAGGTGATTAAGAGGGATTTAATTGAAAATTTTAAAATGTCAGAGAGCTTGGAGTAATTTCCTGTATTTTTATTACCAATTATAGTGTAGAGGAGATTTCTAGAATAGCACAGATAACATAGACATTTATCTTAAAACTGGATGGAGGTATCCACTACAATAAGATATTAAAAGACTCTTTACTTTCAAATAATCATTTGTAAAACTTTCACTTCATCTGCCAGAATGTTCCATTTGCTGAAATCGGCCAGAAGACTTTGGTCTTCTCCATCTATGACTTCGACAGATTTTCCAAGCATGACCAAATTGGCCAAGTGAAAGTACCCATGAACTCTGTAGACTTGTGTCAGACCATCGAGGAATGGCGAGACCTGACCAGCCCTGACACTGATGCTGAGAAGGTCAGAATTTTCTCCCTGGATACAATTAACATGATATTGGATACCATTCACATGATCTTATCTCCCTGGTTACCATTCACATGATCTTATCTCCCAGGTTACCATTCACATGATCTTATCTCCCAGGTTACCATTCACATGATCTTATCTCCCAGGTTACCATTCACATGATCTTATCTCCCTGGTTACCATTCACATGATCTTATCTCCCAGGTTACCATTCACATGATCTTATCTCCCAGGTTACCATTCACATGATCTTATCTCCCAGGTTACCATTCACATGATCTTATCTCCCAGGTTACCATTCACATGATCTTATCTCCCAGGTTACCATTCACATGATCTTATCTCCCAGGTTACCATTCATTCGAGGTTCTCATAATAATACCTCCCTGGATATCATTCACATGATATCATCTCCCTGGATACCATTCTCATAATATTATATAAACCTGGATATCATTCTCATGATATTCTTTTATTTAATTATATCTAGACCAACTGTAGGTCAAAATAGAGTCCTTGTCAAGCTTTAAAGATTTTGTGTCATTCAGAAAGTTTAGAAAATCTACCTCTTTTGTTTGACTCTGCAGGCTGCTTCAGTTTTACTCATTGTAGTACAAATTAATGTTACATTTCTACCAGGGCAATTGTTGGTATTCAAATTTAGAGCCCCAGAAAAGTACAATGATAGATTTTCTTTTGAAAAATTCAAACTTTATCACAAGATATTTTAAACTCTTTTTATTGGTGAATAATTAGAAGATTTGCAGATAGATCACTTGTCTTCTCCTTAATACTAGTAGATAGGATCAGATGTTGCTGTGGTGAGACACTCGCCTTTCACGAAAGCTTCAATCCAGGAAAAGAGTGATTAAAATATAGTTTGTTTTCCAGTTGTTGTGAAACAAATAACTTTCATATCTTAATAGGAAGGTTGTTAAGTATGGTACATCGTCGTTGAACAGGCTATTAACTGTTTTACAATGACTTGTGTCTGACAGGAGAACAAGTTAGGAGACATCTGCTTCTCTCTGCGGTACGTACCCACTGCTGGCAAGTTGACAGTCGTCATACTGGAGGCCAAAAATCTCAAAAAGATGGACGTCGGTGGACTGTCAGGTGCGTTAAATATGCTTGAATTTGATTGGATGTTAATAATTGGTACCTCATTTATAAATAGAATATCACTTAATGTGAAAATTCGGGCAATGTTTTTGAAATGAGTAATTTTTTTAAGAGAAATCTTTTAAGAGAAATTTTTATACTTGGTACCATATTTAAAAATCAATAACATTATTAAAACTTTTATGAAGGAAAGCTATAGCAGTAGATTTCCTCTTGGAATATTTTATTATTGTTGATTAATATCTAACACAAGAGATTTCAGATGTCTTTTTAGATCTTTTCTGTTTAAATATAGAGCCCTGCTCTAGATGGCAAGTTTGTATATGGCTGTTTTATTTTGACATGTGGATGAGATTTATATTTGAAGTCTTTAGGGATTTAATTTTTATTCTGTTGTTGTTATTATTATTTTCATCCTCACTTCACCTCTTGTAAGTGAAAAGGTGATCACCATTAAATCAATATTTATTTCCAAGTGTTTTAGGAACACCTGGAAACACTGATGTAGAGATTGTTGAACTGTAATGTTGAGTGTAAGAGACTGCGTGTCACCTCTGATAAATGAGAAGCATGAGGTTTAAAATTCAGCATTCCGAACAGTGTGTGATATTGATGTCACATCTGAATGAATTAGAATGTTTAAAATTCTCACAAGATGCATGAGTGACTTTTTTTTTTATATGAATAGATGTTTATGTTAAAATTCAGGCCACTTTCTGTTACATCATGCTTTGATTTTCAGCATGACAATCAGGTAGAATTGTTTGGCTCATATTGGCAGTTCAACCTGCTAGTCTAAAAAAACAAGGAGTATGTTCTCTTAGCATTTATTATAGAGTGGGCCAAAATGCACAAAACAACCATTAAAAGCTTTTTGATTCACAATCTCACAATATCTTTTTATGTCTTGATTCCATATCATATCATAAATGTCAAATATATACAAGCAATAAAGATTGTAAGAAAAACATTGAATATTATTAATCAGTTTCTTAAGTGCTAGGGTTTAAGGTACAGTAGATAATTTTTTCGAAAGATATGATGGTTTTGCTGGTTAACATAATCAGGTTTTAATAGATCAGAAACGTATGAAACCTGATAAGTTTAGAGTGTATCAGATCACTTGAAGAAGAATTCAGAATATAACAAATAAAGAATTACTGCAATTATCAGGAAATTTTTCAAATAGTTACCTAATCAAAATAGCCATATATGGAATTCAATGAAATTTATCTGTCCAAAGAATGAAGGAATTTATGTGCAATTTGTAAATTGACCCACGCTATAATTTAGAAACTATGCTACTGTTTTACAGACTGTACCGCCATATAGGAGCATGAATAGTGCAGAAAATTGATTAGCCTCAATAATTTCTTAAATTTACATAGTGCAAACTTTAGGCATTGCTACATTTGAGGAATGTGTGAAGAAAAATTCATTTTACATTTTTCTCATACAGAATTTTGTCCACTTTGATCCTGATAAACAAAATGGGTTAACATTTTTGTATTTGCCAAACTGAAAGTGAATATGACCCACGATTTATATAAAACCTTTTTATAAATCATCACGGGAAAAAGGGGAAGGATAGACACTTGTAAAATATCTGCTTTTTTTGTTAATTTAGAATTATTATCAACTTAAAAGTGGATGTGATATTAGAACTCCTTTAGCCCAACATTTGATATTTTATACAGTTTAAAGAGGGAGGGGGAATGCCATAATCACTTAAAGTAAGTTTATATATTTGGGATTAGCTTCATAACTGTATTTTATGGTTTTTCATTCTATAAGCAGATCCAATGCTTCAGGAAAGACAACTCCAAGTTTTCTGTTTTATGAATGGCAAGTGATGGGGTTTGTTTTGGTACCTAAGAGTGACTGTTGTGCTACTTGACGGGAGCCATATATCTGCTAGAGCAGATAGAAAATGATTTCGTTTTGTTCTGTACTGACCCTTTGTTTTATTACCAGATCCGTATGTGAAAATAGCTCTCTATCAGGGCAACAAACGCCTGAAGAAAAAGAAAACCACTATTAAGAAACGTACACTGAACCCGTACTTCAATGAGTCATTCACATTTGAAGTCCCCTTTGAGCAAATACAGGTATTTGGTCACTCACCTGTTTATTATTATTGCATTGCCATGGTTACAAGGCGTTTTATACTACTGGTGAAATAATGCCATGTCCAGCCATTTTTGACTGTGCCATACATATGATGTATTAGGGGTAATCTAAAATGTCCTTTTGTTAAAAGATGGGACTACTTTTTGCATGTGTAGCAGAAATGCACGAGAGCTCTACCCTATTGACTGGCAGCTGTAGCTTTGTGTGTACCCACATGCATCTATAGTGATCTGACAGTGACAGCTTTGTCTTTTCCCACATGCTGCTTTTGGGCAATTTTATAATATAGCTTTTAATCCAAGCATTGATGTGCTTAGTGGTTTTTTTTTTAATCTCAAAAACTGTTTTTCCCTCAAAGATAAATTTTTTACTTCGTTTTCATCAACCATCATTTCAACTTCTTTGGCAACATTCTTTTTCTTCTCAATATATTATTTAGACAGAGAATGTGAACTGTAAATCTTAAGCTTTTTACATATATAATCCTCCTTCATCTTCTGAGATTGCCTTTATTGTCTCTGAATATACACAAAGACAAAGTGTTCCCTTATAATGGTCATCAAACATTCTTGCCCCAAATAAGGTCAGAAACTGGACATGGCATTGAGATATTCATGCATGATTTGTTTCTATCTTTTTTTTACAGTTTTCTTACATTTCTTATGTGGGTTGTTGATGTTTCTGAAAAAAATTTCCTTTTTTTTCCATTTTCATTTCGTCTGACAGATCCTTATGTTAAGATATCTTTGATGTTAAATGGCAAGCGAGTTAAGAAGAAGAAGACGACAATTAAGAAGTGTACTTTGAATCCATACTATAACGAGTCATTCACATTTGAAGTTCCTTTTGAACAAATCCAGGTATTGTTGGTCTGTAGTAGCTGTGTGAAACATTCTTGTGACGTACTGCTGCACAGTAGCATCTAGTGTAGAAGTTTGTGATGTAACAACTAGTTTTCCATGGACTAACATTTTGCTTGTTCCCAATGCTTTACATGTGTTTGGCCCTCTTTTCATTTCTTGATTACAAAAAAAATGTATGTCATTTTAAAATTTCAATTCATGTGAGATAACACCAATCTACAATACAAAATATTGGATGTTTGAAGACTTTAAGATTAAATGCAAACATATCAAAAGGAAAAAAAAAAAACTTCAAGAAATCAGGGCCGTGCATGTTTTTGTTTCATCAGTCATTCACTATACCACCTGTGTTATACCAAATCCTTTAGATTTACTAATTCAACAAAGTATTGACAGCAAACCACATACAGATAGTCTTGTTTTGTGAAACTATTTCAGCTCATTTGCTGCCAGTCTTTCAAAGTTCATGTCATATTTAAATAATCTTTTTGTACCACAGATCATTTCATAGAATCAGATCAAAAGGGAATGTAAAAATCAATTTTGAGTTTCCAAAGGTAATGTTAATGGGAAAATGTATTGCAATTGTTGAAGTTGATCGATGGAAAGATACCTGATTATGATTGGTTTAAAATCATCTGGAAATTAATGACAGAAAAAAAAATTTACAGATATATGTGGAAAGGTGGTTTGCTGTTGTGTGGCTTTAACAATTGTATGTATGATATGTAAGCTGGCATGGCCTGACTGTGTATCACTCTGTTGTAAACAGAAGACCACCGATGTCTTGTGAAGGTAGACAATAAATACATATGGTAACTGCAACTTATTGATAGCCAAGGGAGAAAAAAGTTTGTAGACAATTTGGTTTGATTTTATTTCAAATTCAAGCTGTATATTAATTTTGAAAAGAATTATTGAAATGTACTAGACTTTGCGAGAATGTAGAGCTGGTAGCTGTGTTATATACCCATGGCTCACTAGTAGATCACAGTAGATTGTAGAGGTCATGAGAGATTGCCTGATGTTAATCCACACATCCTTGATTTCTGACAACAAAGGCTGACTCCTTACAGTTTACACAACCCTAGCTACACTCAGCGACACAACCATGTCCTGGCAGGGCACAATCAATCAATGCTTTGTTTGAGACATTCAGACTTTGACTGATTTGTCCTAACACTTGCTGGAGCTGTGCTTTGACTCCTGACTGGGACCTATCTCTGGCTGGAGCTGTGCTTTGTCTCCTGACAGGGGACACAACTCTTCTGGGAGCCGTTGACTGTGACAAGGGACAAAACTCTGGCTGGAGCTAATAATTGACTCCTTGCTAGGAATATAATTCTTAATGGACACCTTGCTGTTGATGTATTTATGACTCATTACAGGAGACATAACTCTCAATCCTGACAGAGCTTCTGCTATATCCAATGTTGTGCTGAAAAATAGTGCACCAAAATCTCAGACCTGTGTGTGTTACTTTCATCACCCAGTTTATGCAGTGTCTTGAAGTCTTGCCAGAAAAAGTAGAGACTGCAAAATATTAGCTACTAACATTTTAAATAATGGAATGTGATTTATGTTGTTAAAACTATGCATACTCTTAAATGTAGTTGATTTATGTTCCAACTAACACAACATTTGGTTTCAGTCTTATTTCATCAAGGATCATAACTTTAACATCCATGATATCTGCAGTTTGAAATGGAAAAAAAATTATATGTGAAAGAAAATATTCCAGAACAAATGCATTGTTTGCATCTCTTTAAAATGTATAAAGGTTAAAATACATGAAATCTATTCTAGAGAACATAATAATTTGTATGCTTGTTGTATAACTGGTTATAAGTGTCTATGTGTTGTGTTGCTAATTGAACATCCAATGCTTTTAATTTGAATCGTTGAATGTAAACTGTAATGATAACTTCCTTTCTTAACTAATTTCTATGTTTTCTTTCTGAATTCATTGTTTAGGACAAATGAATGATAAATGATTTTCTTATGCTGAAACAGAAAGTGTCTCTCTACGTCACCGTCGTGGATTATGACCGCATTGGGACCTCAGAGCCAATTGGCCGAGCATTGCTAGGATGCAACTCAAGCGGAACGGAACTTCGTCACTGGAGTGACATGCTTGCCAATCCAAGGCGTCCAATCGCACAGTGGCACACTCTCCAGGAGGTGCCAGAGAAGAGCTAAGAGATGTGGCAGGGTCAGCCGGCACAGGGACGGCCTATAGGTGGTGAACAGAGGCCATGATGTGCAATGTCATCAGACATCTATATACACTGTTGAACATATATCGTTATATGTCATAGTCATACGTATGGCAAGGATGAATGAAATATTATGTTTAGCAAATAACTTGCTATTATATTACGTACATTACTTGTTATCCTGTTTGGGGGTACTTTATATATCTTTTTTTTCTGTTGTAGTGTATAGAGGGTTATAAAAGAAAGCATTTTCAGAATCTCATGCTTTCAAGGTTTTAGTACATCATATATAGTTTCATCATCTATGGATACAAACTACTGAAACCTTGTATCCCTTGACCTTCAGACCCCAAAGTAAAATAAAACAGAGATCAGCAATGCAATATTTGCCATGATATTAGTGATGAAGTACTTATCAGTGCAATCTCTTGGAAGAAATGCAGCACATTTACTGTATTACTTACATACACATGATATTAACTTGAAATCCACCCTGTCAGCTTTTTGTTTGACAAGGCATCTTAACCAAATATATATTTCATTTATCAAATTTAATATTAAAAATTCAACTTATATTTTTAAGAAAGGAAATCAATTCAGGGCCCTAGCAGATGAGGATATGCCTACCAGTAGACATTTTTAAAATGACTTGTTTCAGAAGATGTATGAACCTTGGATTATAATGATGAAATTGTAACATTCCATTTATTGTTAATATGCTGTGTCTATAGGAAATTAACTCCTTGGGAAGGTTTTTAAGTAGGAAGGATCTCTTAATCATTTAGGTGAAATTAATTTGTCAATCAATATTAAATTAGAAATCATAGATTGTAAATATCTTTTATCATTTAAGAAAAGTATGCATCATTTTAGACAAATTTTACAGCTGTTAAATATAAATCCTGTATTTATCAAGATAGTGTCCCAACTGACTTTACACTCCACAATAGGTATCAATTGGTGTGTAGATGAACTGTGTGGCAGGGTATTTCTTCTCATCACCAGTCATAACAGAGATAGTCTTACACACTAAGCGATGTATTTAGATAACGGTTCTTTAGATATCTGCCTTGAGACATATGTTGAAAGAAATTTTGAAGATTTGTGGAATCAAACTTCTGCTGGAGTTATCTCCCATAAAAAGTCTTAACGATGGTGTCCTGTATGTTTTTATCATTGGTAACAAAGATCGTTTAAATATCTTATTCAAAAGCCTGTGAGTTGTTATGCCATTCTTTTCCATCGAACGTCATTCGAATTTATTACTTAAGGATCAGATTGTCAACAAAGTCTTAAGGTTAACAGAGGCATTTTAAAGTAAAACAATTTTCAAGTTGTAAATATATTTAAAGTTTGAAATGATAGAATAATTCTGTGATTTGAACTTTTACCTGTGTGTGTAGCATGTATATAGTTGCCCTCACCCTGTCGTACCTTAGGCTTACTGTACTTACATGGACAGACCAACACTCTGTGATAAGGCTCCAGAATCTGTGGTGTTTACATGACAAAACCCCAATTTCTGAGAAGAAATCAATAGACTGAGCTGACCATTAATCTCAGTTCCTCAGACTTTTAAACCAATCCCCTATTTAGTTTGATTTCCACTCTCCTCAGACGTTAAGGTGCAGGTTTTTTTTTTCAAAGAAATTAAAGTAAAACTTTGTCAGATTTGTGTAGTTTTGTACAAAACTTAACTGCATCATTAGTCAGTGATTATGGAACAACACTTATTCAAATTTCTCTGTTTGACTTCTAAGCTTTTTTTTTATTATTTGTTTCTTTCATATTTTCAATTTCTTCAAAGTTTGATGATTTGATAGCATCACAACCATTTCCTCTTAGTGGTTGCCAGTCACCTAGATCCTAATTAAGATGTTTAAATTTGACTAAGATCGGGGATCAGAGAACTTTATAGTAGCTTTCTGTTACTTAATGTTATCTTTCATTGCCAATGAAAGAAGTTATTGTTATAGGAGGTTCAAGCTTTGTGATGTGTTTTGGTTTTTGTATGTTAATTTTTTTGTGACATTCCCGGTTAGATTTGTGATAAATTGCAAAAACGTGAGAGACTTGTTTTCATTAAATATACATCCAGTGTTTTTTTCCAATTAAAGATGATATAACTTAAAATGTGAGAGAGAAAATCAACACTCCAAAAAACATTTTGTAAGATACTCCTTGTTTTCAGCTGTTAAGAAATTGATTTTATGTGTGAGAAGGTGTTACAACATTAATTCTTTATGCTGACAGACACTACTTTCTTGAACAGTCAATTTCAAGATTAGCAAATCACTCAATGGTATATGTACAATTTACATTTATTGTCCTTCGTGAGGTGGTATTGAGTTATTGTCAATCATAGGAGGTTCAGGATAATATCAAGTTAATGAAACAGTTTCGACTTTCTCTACTTCCTTGTACTAAAGTACACTTTATTCCAATTTATTTGTTGTAATTGACCCTACATACCATCATCAAGACTTACATATAAAGACTATTTACTTTTTTATGAAATTTATTACTTTGAATCTCATATTTACGAGGCGTTTATGATTTGACTTTTTAAAGTCATTTCTTCAGTTGAACAGTTTTGGACACCATAATGTGAAAGAAACATAATTCGCAACATCCTAATAAAGCCATTCTCCTTATATTTTTCCCTTTAAGCTCATTGGTTTGGTTGTCTACTGCCTTACATCTATGATAAACCCTTTCTCACGCCTTTCATACCAAGTCACAACCGTTTAGAAGTGATGTATGTCACAACTTTGTAGATATGATAGGAACTGTATATGTTACTGAACTGTATACACCATTCTGTTACATAGAGCAGTCTACTGTTGGTGAAATAAAGTCTGTCTGTCTGGTTACTTGATGTTGTTGACTTTTTATTCGTTATATGAAATTTTTATATGTATCCACACTGAATTTTAACGATAAGGTATTTGTTACAATTACTGTGGTAAGATTGCCTTGGTGGGGGTTACAGAGATATAGCTGATATGGTCTCATTGCATTCATACCACCATAAGTGCAACAAAACATGGTTCAATCTCAGTATTCAAATTTCTATTTTGTTTTCGCTATGTTGACAATATTAAAATAATGTTGGTTGCCAAGATTTGTGAGTAGGGTGTGCTGTCTAATTATAGCAATGAATATGTTACCAGTATGAGGATGTATTAGCACATATCAAACAATCCCAATGACAATGATAGTTAATAGATATTATAATTGTATTTACGTTACGATAACATTAACGAGATGCCATGTATAAACGAAGATGGATGTACTCTCCCTATTCAAGGTAGTGCTGTGACCCAAGTTAAGAAACAACAATAAACATTACTTGTTATTAATGGGAGAAAGAAAAGGTGCATTTTACCGTCATCAGATGGTGGGTTAATCACAGTGCCCTTCATCTGTCGTCTGTTTGTCTTTTAAAAACAAGATGCCGAATGGGCCTGCAGCACTCACCAGATATATTCGTACCGGCAAATTTGGCCTGTGTGACCTTGATTATAAGTCAAGGTCATTTCTTATCACATACGTTTTTGGTCTGCATCCTAGGAACATACCAGCAAAATATCATGCCTCTAGGCGTTTTAGTTCATGAGAAGAAGTCGTTTAAATATTTTAACAAATTCGGTCCCTGTAAACTTAAATATTGGTCAAGACCATTTCTTTTTGCATACCTTTTCATGCTTTATCCTAGGAACATACCAGCCAAATAAAATGTCTCTTGGCCTCTTAGTTCATGAGAAGAGGTCTTTTAAATGTTTTTACAAATCTGACACTCGTGAATATAGGTCAAGGTAATTTACTTTCGCAATCTTTGTCGGGCTTTATCGTAGAAACATACCTGCTAAATATTATGCCATTTAGTTCATCAGAAAAAGTCATTTAAATATTTGAACAAATTTGACCACTGTGACCTTGAATATAAGTCTAGGTCATTTGTTTTCGCCAGTATTGTTGGGAGTCATCTTAGGAAACATAGTCAAATATCATGCCGCTAGGACTTTTAGTTCATGAAAAGTCATTTAAAGGTGTTAATAAATGTGACCTTGGATATAGGAAAAGGTCGTTTTTTTCGCAAACTTTGTTGGGTTTTATCCTAGGAACACACCGGCCAAATATCAAAATATTTCGTGCATTGGTTATTGAAGAAACTATGTTAAACGAAAAAATTGACGAAGCTTGACCCATCGGGCCAGGTGAGCTAAAATTGTGTTTTTGCATTTTTATTTCCAAATTTTCTGTGTAGCTTTGCCTTAACCCCTAATTGTCCACTATTCATTTTAGTGCTCATCGGAAAAACAAGATGGTCGATAGGCTGCTTTCTTGTTTGAATACGAGGAATCCTCGATCTCAGAGGGTACAACAAGCTAGTAAATCTATGGGTTTTTTTTTCACAAATGTTGCGTGAATCTCTACTGCCTTCTAAACACGAGGACAAAACAGGATATCTAAAATTGTGCGTTCATACAATGACATATGAAGTTCATACTGATTATTACTGGATAACTCATATTAACGACTTACCTTTTCTATTGATATCAATCCTTTATTTTTCACCATATAGATCTCTGAAGGAAAACTTGTGACCAGAATCTGCAAAGGTATTATTATTGACGTTAGCACGATAAAGAATTTGTTTCTCTTCAACATTGTATTTATTACCCAGTTTTGTTTTCTACGTAGGTATAGTCATACGTGAACACGCATGCTCGGTTTGTCCCGCTGGCCTTGACCCTGACAATGCCCTTAGGGTTGAGCTGCATTATGTTGTAGGGGTCGTACAGCTGTGTGTAGATGAGAGAAGGTACAAGATGATGTTCGCTGCCGAAGTCAGCCTCGAAGTAATAACCGTGGACGCTACTGATATGACGCTTGTGTCCAATGTCTGGCCAACTCACCTGTAATTACTTGTTAGTATTTAAATACATCCCAAACGTATTTGAATTCCATCAGGTAAAAAATGGTTAGCTAAAACAAGGACGTATAATGCCAATTGTAGCACAGAACCTCGAAAAAGCAATCAACATTATTTGCTCTAAATTGATAATTGTTAAAGATGAAAAGAAAACAACTCAAGTTTCTAGTAATGACCTATTTAAGATTGATAAATAAAAATCAAACACTGAGATAGAAAATGGTATCGAATGAAATAGAAACCACCGTGTATACGAACCGAAAATCCCTGAGTTTCGCCCAGTAAGTTAAACCCTATCACCACGACTGAACGGTTGTACTGGCTGTGGAAAGAACAGCGAGTGATGATTGGTCGGCCAGCGTCATTGTACACCTGTTGTGCTAGTGTCGAGCTGGAGTTCTTCGGCATGCACGTAAAGTTGGGATCCCAGGAGGATACTGACACCTTCTGGACAAACACTGCACCTGCTGACAGTGCCATGTCAAGTCTGCCCTTCGTGACCCTGTCCGTTGAGATTGAGGTTCCAGACCCGGATGTTGGAAAACACGGATTATCTCGAAGGGATTCGAACGCTTCTAGGTTCAACCACATGTCAAAGGAAATGTTATTCTTCTGGAGCGCTTCTCGAGCAACAAACAAAGATTCCATTACCTGATAATAATGAAAAATATATACTGGATGAATCTTTGTGACATACGTCATGTATAGTGTATCAATACGTGCTGATGTAACATATCGTTTCGAGTAAAACTAGTATATTGTTGTCTCTGGAACCAATTGAAATCACAGCCATTTGTATTAGACCTTCGCGAACAGTACTACATTTTTGGTTTGTTTTTGAGCGATGCTTCTTAAAAGTTCATTGTTAAGAAAATAGGAAACAAAATCACTATATCATACCTGCTGTATGCTACCGACAAAGAAATCTTCAAATGTGATATTGGGTTTCAGCTGAGGGTTCTGGTAATGCAGCACTGTGTCAAGTGTCTTGTCGACCTGTGCTATGGGCAAGATGTTTTGTGTTGGCCAATAGTAACAAGCTTTTCCATAGCCTCTCCCCTCATGGATGTTCATGATGTCAGCTTTCGACGAATTTACAAGAGCGTTGAATCCATGAACGTGATCGTCAATGCTGTACCCTCCAGCTTTACGTAAGTCGACGGAAGCAGATACAAGGAACTTCCTACCGTGGTGATGTACTATACTGCCCTGTGTAGAGTAAAGAAACAGCATGTCTGCATCAGTGTTGAACTGTCCTAGAGGACGCTCTTCCCCTGTATTGTACCCTTTAACAGCATCGAAAGCAGTCGTGTATTTGGACTGTTTGACTGCTATGCTCTTGTACCTTTGTTGGTGGTCCACCATCAGTCTATTTATCCAGTCGTAGTAAGCTAACATGAATTGTTTCTCCGACACCGTAGCAGCGTTTGCCGGAGGAGCCCCAGGGAGTCCCATATATACCGACATGTTCTTCTCAGCAGCAGCATTCACCAAAAGCTCATTGGAATCAATGCCATTAAAGGTCGTAAAAAGGACAATGACACTGGATCCCGAAGGAAGGGCGCATGGTTGACTGAAAAGTCAATCAATTCAAAAATATACTTTGTTTTGTGCTCTATATTTGTATAATTACATAGATATTTCAAATTCATATATTCCATTATTAGGAGCACAGGCTGAATCGAGAAAAAAGAAAGATAAAGATGCAGAACATGGGACGAAAATCATCGGGAAGTGATGTATAATGTGATCAAGTGTCCATTCCACTGAAAATTTAATTAATGGTAATTGTCTTCTCAAAAAGTGTCTTTAACAATAGAACAATTGAAGATGACGCGGTGGGTGAGAAACAAAATCGATATACCTTTGAGGTCTTACTGTTATCGGAAGAACAAGACGAGTATATGTCCTGGCCCCAACCAATTTCCTCTCGAACGCTGGACATGTAATGACAGCCTCACTGAAGTTTTCTCCGCTTTTGTATGACGCGAAAGATGCTATGCTGAATCCTAGTTGGTTCATTTCCTTTTTCGCGTCCTCAAAACACGTAGGTCCCGTGTCGGTTGCCGTGGTGCCACACCACGCGAAATCTGGATCTACTTCCATATCCTGTTGTGACCGGAAAAGGAATTGTGGAGCTTTCAAAAGAACTGTGTCCCCGCCATTTCTTGTAAAGTTAGACAGATTATCAGTCCAGTTTTTAGGAGAGAAGTGGTCGCTGAACCAGGCGGCAGTAATGGGATATCTCTGACCAGCACATACAAAGAATACAGACTGAAAAACTAACCAAAACAACATCGTTTTGGTCGTGGGATTGCCAGGAGAACGTTAACAATTCCAGCGATGGAACTATAAGGTGAAGGCTGTTGTATATCTCTTTGATAAGAGCGATAGTTTTAATGTCCACTTTAAACTTGATAAGATGTTACATTTACGCAGACAACACTGTTCTGTATTTTGATTTCGATTTTTGTGTGTACATGTCCTTACTCTTACTGTTATATAACGCATTTTACCATAAATGCTTTCCAAGTTGTTACAACTATTGGATATGAATCTAGTATTGACATTTTCTAGCAATGTTCAGTTGCTTGTTAATCGGGAAAGTTAGGAAAACAAGACAGAGTGATTGATATCCACTTTAAATTATACAGGTGATTAATATAATTGGTGCAGGACAAAAAAAAATGGCCAAATGGTAAATTTCAAGCGTTTTTCCCGTCAAACTTGCCCTCTGACAATTTTACAATCTACGTTTTACTATGGAAGTCTTAATGTAGGAGATGACATTATATTGCATAAGAATAAAGAATTACACACATACAATGTACTTAAATATGCGGTTGGTCTATCCTAAAAAAAGGCTTTATGTCTGCGTCAGAATGTAGTTTCTCATTCTACTTAAGCTTTGAATCTGCGTCAGAATGTAGTTTTTTCACATTCTACTAAAGCTTTACGTCTGCGTTAGAATGTAGTTTCTCATTCTACTTAAGCTTTGAATCTGCGTCAGATTGTAGTTTTTTCACATTCTACTAAAGCTTTACGTCTGCGTCAGAATGTAGTTTTCAATCCTTCTAAAACTTTGTCTGCGTCAGAATGTGAAAGTAAAGTCACCTGTATATTGTATGATTATGCGAACACGTGACCCGAAAAGAGTGCGTGTTACTTCTCAGCTATCCAAAAATAGATTTTAAAGATATAATTTAACTGAAAACACCGCAAACTCCTTGTATTCCAACTCGAATATCCCTAACCAAGTGCATGTGCACTTAACTCTAGACACGACCAATTTTATTATGTCACTGGCGCGTTTGAAAAATGTTTTATAACATAGACTATTATTTGTTTACCTGTTCTAAATCTTGGTCGTGTAAATGCTTGACTAGTAAAACCCATACAAAGTGCTGACCTGCCGTAGATTGTGTAAAATTTGATTAGTGAACTCTTTTTCTGAAGGAAATAACTGTAAATAGTAAAGCTTTTTTACGCAGGAATTTATGTCAGTACTCTGGAAAAAAATACGGTAGGGTTTGCCGTATTAATTTGCTGATTTGTTTTGTGTTCCAAAATGCACTGCTCACGATGTGAATTGTAACGTAAATAGATATGTATTTCTGTTATATGACTAATATTGTATCTGTCATAGATACGTGTTCCACGTCTATTTCCAGTTCTTCAATCACTCGGAAGGGAAAATGTTCTTATGCAATTTACCTATTGGTCGCGTTGCGCCGTCATTGAAATAATGATAACCGGTGTGACAGATTGCCTTTTATAACCACGGATGCCCGTATATATGTTTCCAAGCAAGGCTTGAATAAAATGTGTGTCACTTCATTAACTTGTTGACGGTGGTTGGGGTTAGAGGGATAAATAATATTTTCTTTCCAAATTTGTATTTATTTTTTCTACATAGGTATAGCCATACGCATACACACATGCTCGGTTTGTCCCGCTCGCTTTGACCCTGACAGTGCCCTTTGGGTTCTGGTGGAACGTCGTAGGTATCGAATAGCTGTTGATAGCTGAGGGAAGGTACAAAATGATGCTCGATGCCAAAATCAACTTCGAAGTAGTTAACGCTACTGGTATATCGTTTGTGTCCAATGTCGTGCCAAGTTATCTGTAATAACGTGGAATAAATAATGGACTAACCAGAATATCTAAAACTTTATTTGAGTCCCGTCAGCCGAGATCTTTTTCAATCTTTGCAGGACTATATCATCAGAAAGCAAAGCAATAATCGTATTCAACTAACGATACTTCACCACTGAATCACAGTTACCGTCCCTTAATTCAAATCATTAATTGTGAAGGTGGCATTGGTAACATAAAGTCATTTTAAGTCATTTTAATAGATGATATCAAGCTAGTACTGATGAAGAGAAACAATTGGCTATACCAACCTAAAATGTTTGGGTTAGACCTAGTAAATTAAACCATATGACCACTACGGTTCCGGTTGTGGAAAGAACAGTCGGTGATGATTGCTCAACCAGCCTCATCGTACACCTGCTAGTGTTAAGCTGGAGTTCTTAGGCATGCACGTAAAGCTGGGATCCCAGGAGGATACTGACACCTTCTGGACAAACACTGCACCTGCTGACAGTGCCATGTCAAGTCTGCCCTTCGTGACCCTGTCCGTTGAGATTCCTGTTGTATAATACCGACAAAGAATCATCAAAAGTTACATTCGGTTTCAGTTCTGGTAAAACGGTACTGCGTCAAGTGTCTTGTCTTGTGCTATGGGCAAGATGTTTTGTGTGGGCCAATAGTAACAAGCTCTTCCATAGCCTCTCATGGATGTTTATAATGTCAGCTTTCGACGAATTTATAAGAGCGTTGAATCCATGAACGTGATCGTCAATACTGTACCCTCCAGTCGACGGAAGCATAGACAAGGAATTTCTTACCGTGGTGATGTAAGATACCGCCCTGTGTAGAGTAAAAAACAGCATGTCTGCATCAGTATTGAACTGTCCTAGTAGACATTCTTCTCCTGTATTGTACCCTTTAACAGCATCGAAGGCAGTCATGTATTTGGACTGTTTGACTGCTATGCTCTTGTACCTTTGTTGGTGGTCCACCATCAGTCTATTTATCCAGTCGTAGTAAGCTAACACAGAACCGTAGCAGCGATTGCTGGAGGAGCCCCAGGGAGTCCCGAATATATCGACATGTTCTTTGCAGCAGCATTCACCAACAGCTCATTGGAATCAATGTCATTAAAGGATGTAAAAAGGACAATGACCCTGGATCCCGAAGACTGAAAATTCATTTGATTTAAGAAAATAAACTGTGATTAGTGCTCTACATTTGTATAATTGCATATACATTTCAATTGCATTATTGCATTACTAGGAGCTTAGGCGTAATTGAGATAATACGAAGGTTAAAAATATAGCTCATGGGACGAAAATCATCGGGAAGTGATGCATAATGTGATAAAGGGTCCATTCCATTGAAAATTTTATGAATGGTAATTGTCTTTTCAGAAAATGAGTCTTGAACGAGAACATTTAACACAATTGAAGATGATTTGGTGGGTTAGAATCAAAATCAATATATCTTTGAGGTCTTACTGTTATCGGAAGAACAAGATGAATATATGTCCTTGCCCCATCCAATTTCTTCTCGAACGCTGGACATGTAATGAAAGCCTCCGCTTTTGTATGACGCGAAAGATGCTATGCTGATTCCTAGTTGGTTCATTTCCTTTTTCTCGCCCACAAAGCACGTTGGTTCCATGTCGGTTGCCGTGGTGCCACAACACGCGAAATCTGGATCTGCTTCCATATCCTGTTGTGACCGAAAAAGGAATTGTGGAGCTTTCAAAAGAACTGTGTCTCCGCCATTTCTGGTAAAGATAGACAGATTATCAGTCCAGTTTTTACGAGAGAAGTGGTCGCTGAACCAGGCGGCAGTAATGGGATATTTCTGACCAGCACATACATAGAAAACATCAGCAATATACCAACATGACAACATAATCATAATTCAAACTCAAATTCCATAAAACTAGGGCAAAATATGAACAAAAGAAAGATTAACACAGATGTTCCAGAAAAAGTACAAATAGAATAAGACCAGTTGTTCCGGAAGAGTAAGCGTCGTTTGTTTCATCGACGCCACTCGCGTTGTAAACCTTGGTCAATCCAAATAGTAACGTTACGTTTTCAAGCGAGAACAAGGTATAAAACAACGGAACCAGTAGACAAACTAACAAGCATAAAAACGTCTAGCATCATATCGTTTAAAGAATTATTTGGTTACTGTGTTTGTCCATATTAAGGTCGTATTGTAAAGTTACTTCTGATATATTTTTAAACAAAAATGTCGAAAATCAAATTAATTTTAAATTGTATAATAGAAACTAAATGACAATTGATGTAATTAATCCAGTTTTAGTTAAAGTCTTAGTCTCCTTTGTATTTAGTGTTATTATTTTTAATTAATTACAACCATATCACGATTGTGATTCTCTCTTCGACAAAATCTTAAATCTAATGAAATGTCTTATCTGTTTCACACAATGTTTTCCTTTAAAGCCCTCAGACGCGGTATTGTATATATAGGCCATGTGTGTATTATCACTACACTTGATAGTAAACATGGGTTTATAAACAAGCTTAACTCTATCCACACGTTGTTGTTCTAGTATATTATATTTCAGGTTATCCGATTGTGTGGGATTTAAATGTATACTGACTTTATAATATGAAGTGCTAAAGACTTGATACAATTCCTCAAAAAACATGCGCGATGAACTCGGGTGACATTGTACCCCAACAGGTCGGGTCACGTCACTTCTCCGCTACTTCCGTTGCTAACGAAGCTTCCGTGCTGTACGGTGGAGAGGTGGTGATTATAAGATTGACAGGGCATGGATCCGAATTAGGACTGACGATCAATTGTCCAGCACGAGTCCCAGGTGAAATCAGGTATCTATATCGTAACTTGTTTACATGATCCTACCTGTGATCAGGTGTGTTTAAAAGGGCGGTGTCTTACAAAGTATCTTAATAGTGACTATCTTATTGGATTACAGTTATTAAATAGAACATCATCACGTGCATTCCTCTAGTGGTACTTATATATTATTTGATATATATAGTTATATAATATGATATGACAATTATATCTATATTCGACATTGAATATTGTGATCAAAATTGAGATAAATCAAGATATGTACAGCTGTACTTCGGCAGATCTTAAAATTTAAACTCACGTGTATCAAATTTGTTTGAAGTACCTCTCTCACCTGTATTGGGTTGCTCACACCTGCTAAGACAATTTTCTTATCTCGACTACAAAAGATGTCCAATCTCGCATTCAGAGTTTAGATTTTGTCAAAACATATACGTACGTGACTTCGTTTAGGAAAATGAAACATTATTTGTGAGCTATTCTATATCATAATAGATAGCAGTTACAATTCGTTATACATTATAATGTTTATTAAATTTATTTTAATATCAGCAATATGTATTCAGTGATTCGAAAGATGGCAGGTACTTTAAAAAGATATATATCACAATGCATATGGTTAGAGAACAATGACGGCCTCGCCACAAATCAGGTTATTACTGTTTATCTTAAATCTACCCGACTTTGTAAGATTTCAAATTGTTATGAATATTGTAAAACATGTTTAAGTTCAGATCAAAGCCTGCCCTAATATATCATATGAGTATAGCTGTAACATCCGTACAGATAAAAAGATTTGCTAATGCTTTATCAATAAGGTAACACAGCTAGTCCTATTCAAACTGTAGTTCATTGATTGTAAGAAAATATACATTATGTAGATCGTCGAAATGATTGGTAGTACCGACTTAAGTGTGGATCTACATAGATATATACATGTTTATCTACATACAGCTATTCCCTGTAGGACTGAGATAGGTATAACACTTCAGGTAAGTAAACAGCATTTCCAGGCTTATATCAATACCACGTTACCAGTCAACATATCTCTTTGTACATTTACATTACAAATGTTCGATTTTCTATTAGGTATGTAAATATAAAACACATGTTGTATTGATTTACGGGGAGTTGTTTCTGTGATTGTGTAAAATGCTTGTCCTACCTACGGCCAATATTGATTATCATCCACCATGCATTGATACATAATTAATGAATGTGTTGGTAAGTAGTATTATATTTAACAACAACCTACCGTGATATCCTACATATATACGAACATTGCCTACTGTGATATCCTACAAATGTTCATACATATTGCTCTAAGCTCAAATGAAAGTACAATAAATTGATGTTGACAATAAGAGTACTGTAAAGGTCACTTTATAAAAGCCTGCGGAATATGGACAACACTGGCAGTGTTCATTTACATACCATTAACTCCAGAAACGATATCGTAATGAAGGTAACCTATTGTTTAGTGCTGTTGTAAACGGCTCTCTTTAGCCTTTAGCGATTGACAACTCCAGAACTATTTATCTAGGCTTCATATTGTGCTGAAGTTACTTGTAATTTTGTAGGCTAGAAATATGATAAAGGAGTATAATCTTACGTGAAGTTTTGCTTTTGCATGTGTTCGATTGCATGAACCAGATGTATATGATAATTAATATTTCATATTAAAATGTGATCAATTTCAACAAATTTTATTGATAAACATCAATTTGATTGGACAGCAGCCTGGAAGCGTTCATAAACCTTCTCCAAAATTGTTGTTTTTATTAAATATTTTATCTTCCCACGATCATGGAAAAGAAGCGAGTCTGAATCGTTTCCCGTTTACAAACCATGTATTCTTAGTATACCATAGAAATACCATTTGACATTCGGACAATGCAAAAAAAATGGTGCGTTTGAGATCTGAAAATATCGTTAAATGGTAGGTAGACGCTAACTACTAAAGATATTATCCACTTAATGCTATTTCTGTTCGTTAAAGACTTATTCCGGAAAATCTGGGTTTTTACACTACATATCGATTTTGTTACTATCTCGTTTTTCACCTGATCAGGATATTGTCGACCCAGTACCTATTGATATCTTGGAGGACAATTATAGATCTTTCCTGTCTAAAACTAATATAGAATTTGGTTTGTTCAAACATTCCCCATTGCTTGTACCATCGAACGGCGCCATTAACCAGCTACCTCACAAATAGGTGATTGTGGAGCGGCAATACACTCAGACATGATAATCCTGAAGGTTGTACTAACACATTATCACATCCATGTGCTGTCAATATAGAATATATTGTCTTAGACATCAAAATAGAGTAGTAATCCTAAGTGAAATGTCATGTTACATTCCATTACGATCCCTGTAATGATTTAACATGGTAAATACTAGCTACTTAGTAATGGCATACGTGTTATAGCGTGCCTTACAAAGATATAATAAAAACCTATTGAATGGTATCCGTCTTCTTTTCAAATCATTGTAGAATCCAATGAAAAGGTATATAAATCCCATTTAGCCGATGAGATCGGATCTATTTGATTCTGCCTTTCCATATTCAATTCAAAAGAGAGTTTTATACATACCACCATTAAGAGAAACCGGTGAGAAGCGAGGCCGGCATTGTAATGGAATGCTTGTTAAATGATTAATTCAATTTCATTTGCCCACATGCTATGTTAATGTATAGATCTGAACAGTACATAACAGAATTGTCCTTTAGGAGTACAACAGTGTTATAGTCTATAATACGAAGGAAGAAATAATATCATCACAATCACCTTTTTATAACGCGTAGCTTTTTAAACTATTAATTTTATATATCCTACCCTCAGGGGATGTATTGTCGGTGTTGCTGATGCATTTAAGCTCGGAATGCAAAACCTGTATCTACAGAAGTGATATAAGCAATGTCCTGTCTTATCATAGGACGTTATTGATTCATTTTATCTAGACTTCCATAGAAAATAGAAATAAGGGGACGAGACAGTCCATCTGTTCAGGAAATATAATTATCGATAGTAGAATGGTAGATAACACTGTTATTGATTTACATGTTAAATTGTTGATTCTCGTAAGTTCCTTTTCTCTACATTAATTGACAAATCAGGTCCTTGTGTAACATAAATTGACAAATCTGTTCCTTGTTAGCATTAATTGACAATAAGTTCCTATTGTTAACATCGACATATCAGCCCCTCGTGTTAACATCGACATATCAGCCCCTCTTGTTAACATTGACATATCTGTTACTAGTGTTAATATCAATTGATAATTCAGATCCTAAATGTTAACATTGACAAATCGGATCATTGTGTTAACGACGACAAATCTGGTCATTGTGTTAACATTAATTGACAAATTAGTTCCAAGTGTTTACATCGGGAAATCTGGTCCTTGTGTTAATGTTAATCGACATATGAGTTCATTTTCTTGATATCAATTGACAAATCGGGTCCTTGTGGTAACAATGACAAATCAGGTCCTTGTGGTAACATTGACAAATCAGGTCCTTGTGTTAACATTCATTAACATATCAGTTCATCGTGCTAACATTTTTAACTGGTACAAACTGTGTACTGAAAGGTTGTGATGTAGAGATTAGTATTTGAGAGCAACGTGGTGTTATGTCTGCGTTGGGAAGTTCAATTCATTTAGTAGTTGTTAATTTCGAACTGCGATAATATCAAAAAGTCAATTATAGGTAATATTCACCCGGATAATCTCAGCACCACGCAAGCTAAATGTAAAGCATCGAAATAGTCTAGGTGTCTTCGTTTTATACAATGCAAGCTTGCTTGACAAGAAACGTGTCAAAATATTGAGAAACTGGATTTCACTCGAACAAAATTATATCATTGATTTTGCAGTCAAGATGGTTGACTACCTTTCCCGGTATCGGCTGTACGGTCATGGTTACACGTCACCAGAACAACGCTACCCCATCACCACCTACAGAGAAATATACAGGGACAGCGCTCCACACATCTTCGGCCGCAGACCGCGATGTAAGAATATTTGTAGGGTGGTTAGTTTTTCTCCTTTATATTATCTTGGTTTTTCCATTTCTGACAATGTCTTATTCGTGTATAACATTTTAAAGTTCCTATTTGCCCTAGTTATATTGATTTTGTGTTTGGATAATAATTATCTTGACATATTGGTTGTTTTTGTCAATTTTATTGTCAACCTAAAATAAGTCGTTTAGAAAAAATGGTGTTACCGGGTTAAGTCGATATATTTCATGATCTAAAGGAACAATACTTACTTCCTTCTGACACAATTACAGCTCACGACTGTCGAATGGAGAGCGTAAAGGATTCGACGGAGAAGAAAGACTGGGAAGCATGGATGTTCTCACATGGGCTTGGCCAAGTGTACAGAAGTGTCAACTACCTCCATAACCAGGATAAGGAGCTCACACCACAGGGAACCGCCGCGTAAGTATACCAACAGTCAGACCTCTAATTAGGACCCACTCTGTAGAACGGCATGGCCTGGTATGGAGGTCACTCCACAACAGCCATGTGAGCATGCCGACAGTCAAAAATCACTCCTTATAACGATTTGATATTGAACTTAGCCTCCAGTAACATACAAGCTATACCAATATTCCACTGTAGAGAGTACACTTCAGCGAAATAAGCAAAACATATACAGTGAGTGCATTCAACATAGCATTGTAGCTTTAGTAAGAGAAATCGCGATATTTAGCCCATCAAAAGTTACACCACATTAGGAGGGCAGTGAAGCATAAGCATGGTAAAAGGAGTAGATTGAACTCATTTTATTGGGCACTGTAGAGTAAATTTTGCAGAATACTTTCATTGACCAAGATCGACAAAAAATCATAGGCACGAACGGAAGATAAGGACATTTAGGTTTAATAGCACACCAAATTCATAACCCTGGTACATTACAATCGAAAAAGGGGGCATCACGAGGTACTCGTGTGCAGTAACCTCTAGGTTGGGACCCATGTACCATGTGTATTCCTTGAACAAAAATCTCATCATTACACAATGTGTATTTGAGTCGATTTCTCATTGCTGTTGATGTGCATAGCATAACTGAAATATTTGAGAGAGAATTTCTAGTACTCGACGAACCAAGCAATGCAAACATTATTATTAAAGGGAGATAACTTATATGAGCTGAACGTTTTATTGCCGCTTCAAACACTATTTGTAATTACAATTTCATCGTATTTCAGACCAGACAAACTGCTCTTTAACATTGGTATGAAGGGTCGAGGTGATGGTGACTTTTACTATCCTCGTGGCTTATCTGTTACACTGGACGGTGAGATACTGATTGCAGACACAATGAATCACAGAATTCAGATCTTCAACCAATATGGTATCTTCATACGAAAGATAGGTTGCAAAGGTACTGGGCAGGGACAGTTTGACGAACCAATGGGAGTAACCGAACTACCAAATGGAGATTTGGCAGTGGCAGATAAAAAAAACAAGCGGGTTCAGGTTTTCTCACAAAGGAGACAGTTCAAATTTATGTTTCCAACAGGCGATGAACCTTTCGCTATCGCAAGTGACAAAGACTACAACCTTATTGTATCTACAGTGCGGAGGTCAATAGAAGTGTATAGGAGAGGTGGTAAGTTGGTGCATGCCTTCCCGGTAGGGGGATCGGCACGGGATAAAATTGGCTGTCACATCTGCGTCAATAACAAAGAAGAGGTGATCGTTAGTGATGCCGTAAATAACTGTGTCAAGTACTTCACATATGGTGGTAAACTTTTATACAAGTTTAATCCTATGTCTACAGGCGAAGGTTTGTCCATGCTGCCATCCGGTATTTGTGTTAATGTGTTGGGAGAACTTATCATTGGAGATGCCCTCAATCACACAGTGAACTTGTATTCCGAACGTGGGATCCTACTGAAACAGCTCATTGGTCCTTCTGACGAAGCTGGGGCGGTTCAGACTTGCGCAATTGGACAAGAGGGACACTTAATGGTGACGGAATTTAGTCTTTCCGGTCCACATTCGTTGAAAATATTTCGATACAAACAATGCTATTGCCATCTTACTAGACCAGGTTCGAGCAAGAGGAGATCACCGACTAAAATGGAGTGATTCCCCATGCGCATGTTCTGTTGTTCTATATCACACATCGCTGTGCCAATACACTAATACGCTTTAGGCCAAATTCCACCTTTACTGTTAAATTTATTCTAAAATTAGCCCAAGTACTTTTTTCCCAAAATTTTAGATAAGTTTTAGTAAGTACGGCTGTTTTGTTTATTAAGTTTTTAAAAAATACTATTAAGGGAAAGAATATGTAGCATCGTTTATATATATATATATATATATATATATATATATATATATATATATATTGTTAATCTCGGCATTTGGTGATATGTCTAAAGGTTCTCATCTATGCTTATCATTTGGAATCAATTTTGCTGGTATATTCTAGCTGAATCTATTTTTAGCGACAAATTCTTGACAGATATTAATAATTGCAATATTCGATTATCGCATAATCTCTCTTTCGTATCGCAATGAATTTAAATATATTTGTTGATTGTCAATATTGACCTGGATACATTACCATTGGTGGATGGGTGTAACGGGGATTAAAGGGGTTGTATCATCATGATTAATTTTGAGAAAGAGCTTGCCATTTTCATTTAAGTAAAGACCTACCTCAGTTTTCAATAAACTGTGTTGTTTTGTAAGTTTGAACTTGAGGTTGTATATAAAAAAAGTTTTAAGTTTTCTCTTTTTAACAGAATACCTTTTTAGTTATATGTCATTTTAGAGTCTAAAACAGTCAGTATTAATCTGTAAATATTAATACAGATTCTTAAGTATATCCTGTGAAACGTAGCTACACTTAGGACACCCAATCCTACAGTGCTTTATATTTATATCATTCTTTGTGTCATTGTCTTCCACAAAAAGTATCACTGTCAGTAATATCAATGCAACATCACAGTTTACACTTTCACCCTAACAAACCTCCTACCCGCTAGGGAGTAGGTACATGTAACTAGATCAACAGTCTCATTTGTATGCCAGCTGTTCCGAACTCTCATTCCCTTCTACTGACATTGGAATTTTATTTTTTACCAATCTCCACGCTGTATTATAGGCAGCCATTGTATCATGACGAAAGTATGCTAAAACATCTCACAGGATTGATTGATCCAGGTTGTGCAATACGCTTTCAACTCTTTCAACCCATTAGGATATTGTATCTGCAAAGAGCAGTCTCCGTTAAAGGGGTTTACATCATACATGTCAGTGTTTTGATTTAAAAAAAAAACCTGCAAATAAAATTTTCAATCTTGTCATGAGAGAACCAGAACCAGAACCGACCCTAAAATATTAATGGTGCTTTCGTTGTCTTCTCTGACGTATATATGTATGTATTAGTCTGATTTCTCAATATCATAATCAATACCGCCAAGTTTTGCGTAACAACGATCAAATTGCAGAACTTCATTTCAAAACATTTTATCAAATCCGATTGATTTTCCGGGATGGAGCTGAAGACTGGGTCTGTGAAGCCCTCTTCCTTCAGATTAAATCTACAGAATTTCACATTTTACTATGATTGTATGCATTGTTACTTTGTTATCTGACTTTGAATATCCTGTTATCTTAGAGATTTAACGAACATGTTCGTCCTTCTCAAATAAATGACTTCAAACATTACAAGTGATTTGTATTTCATTTTTGTCCCAGAACAAAAAGCAGTTATTAGGTAATGGTATTGACAATTTAACATGTTATTTCATAAACAGCATACCCAAAGTTGCTGACAACAGGGTGAAATGTATTTTATATAAGGTGAAAAGCACATCACAAGTGTTAGATATAACCCACACCAAAGGATCGTACAAGAAATACGGGTACAAATTTAGAATACAGAATAGCTAAAAATACAGCTGTTTCATCCCTCTAGGGGTCGTTAGTGACGCTGAATACTGCATAAAGATGTTTCATCTCCAATCAGTCATCAGGGATGCTAATTAGGGTATTAAACTGCATCATTTCATCCTTCTTAGAGTACTCGGGGATGAAATACTGTGAATTAAACAGCATGATACAGTTGTTTCACCCTTCTAGAAAGTGTCTATGATAAGAAGCCTATAATGTAGAAATGTGAAGTATAATCATGTATATCCACAAAGCCTTAATTCTTTTTGCAGCCAGATGAAGAGGAAGATCCAGCTAACACAAAAACATTCATGTTCATTCAATCAGTAACATTTTCTTCAATATATTATTCAATAATTCAGTTTTCAACACAAATTTTATTTTCAATAAGCATCCATATTACATCTTATCCACTCATCATGAATATGTGGGTCCAACTTAAAATCTCATTTCCTCTAAATATCTATTTTTGTGTGGAACATGATATTATATTAGCATTGATATTAACAAAGAATGAAATGTCGTAGAGATCACAAAAATGGATGTCCTTCAAAGTCAGGAGTGAACGGTGTCTTTACTGGTCATCAACGAGAAAGACCTGAAAATCAACCATAACAGTTATTACATTTGTATGTAAAACATTAGTTTAATTATATCAGATCTAAAAATTGATTTTGAAATTTGAATTCTGATTAAAAATCAAGAGATCTCAAGTGATAATAGTATTTTTCCTGATTCAAGCAGGTTATGATATGGTTAGAATCAGATTGGCCTCGCGAAATGAATTGGCGACACTGGGATAGTAAGGGTCACCGTGCAAGCCCAAATTGTTATCAACACCTATTCCTTAACGTACCATTAATTGGCAAAGAGCCAGAACCGTTTATCGACAGTCGTCGCCGGGACTAATTGAATAAGATAATATTAACTATAACTGATAATCTGCTTCACTCACGCACATACTGTGTCACTATCATTCGCGCCTGATTGACCTTTAATTATTTTTATGACATCAATTTGATCACCTGATAAGTATCGTCTTGTCAGTGCTGATCAATGGTGATATTGTCTTTTACTGAGCAGTATGACGGTACATCTGGATTTCAATTCCGATACGTGATGACGTTTTAAGTGTTTTGTTGACATAATTTGGCAATTTCTTTGCCACTTAGAATTGAAAATAAAGAACCGGTGCCAATAAATGATAATTGTGTATGTCACATTTTCCAGTTATTTCTTAAAGATAAAGACATACCTAGTTCATTTATCTCTTGTTATTTTCAACCAAAAAGATATCATTTTAGTATCTTTAAAAGTTAATAAATGGTGGCGTAAATGATGTGACAAATGTTACAAGGGTTACCTCCCTTCTGTTGCGTGAAAAAACACATTTCAAATTTTGTTTAATTCAAATACCCATGCAAAACTACACATCTAATCTAAAATACAGTAAACTTATTTTAATTCACTAACTCGGTAAACACATACATGTAAATATTATTTGTTTAGATGTTCATTTAGGAGTGTCTATAAATTGTATAAGGAAACGCTTAGTTTATGAAGTATTCAGAACTATTTTGTTAACTGATATTGTCCAATTTATATCACAATGCTTCACTGTATCATTTTTTTTATTTCTCTCAATTCGAAAAAAGGTCGCTGTTAAAACGCATTTGGCCAAAGTTTCAGTTATCAACATTTATATAATCTTCTCATCAACGAAAATGAATCTTCAATGACAACTTCTTTATTCGGTAGTACTCTTAATGCGCTTCATTTTGTTAGTGTCCAGAAAGGAAATGCGATTCACCATTACCTGGAATCTAGTCCGATTTATTCTGATGTTCTGTCGACAGTTTTTGACGGGGCTGAGTCGATGAACATCATAAGTCAGAATATTTTGAACTTTATAGTATCCTCATCTACATATTAAGTAAAAATGTAATCGTTTCCATCAATGTATGGTAAGATGTGTTAAGACCACGGCGACAAACGTTTAACATGTTTCAGCTTACCCTACTATGATATATATCAATACATAAGTGACAGTATGAATTGTTTTCCACATTGTATTATTTACTTAATCTAGTGTTGTGAAGTTAACAGTAATCTGTTATTTTGAACTTAAATAATAATTTCTGTTTTGTCAGGTTAGCTTTTTCATTTTTTTTTTTTTTTTTTTATTTTAATTTACTTGAAGCTCAATACATCTCTCCACAAAGGCACTTATCATCCATGATTGATTGTAAGACATATATTGGAGCCGTGTTATTACCTAACTTTATTTAATTATCAATTATTCTTCTTAATCTAAAATAACATCACCTAGGTAATGCATTTGTCGGCAAAAAAATGTATCATATCTGATTTTTATGAGAAAAAAAAATTAAATATTGAACAGCCATGTGTGAAGATGAACATTTTACTGAACTAGAACTAAAAAAAAACCCCATTAAAACCACAAATCCAGACCAAATATCGCTATGACCTTGCAATTTGAAGAAACCTGTTAAAATTCTTTCGAAAGCAATCTATTTCAGTTTTGTTCACTATTCTAGAAGAGATATGTATTGATTCTGATCGTTTTCGAATAGATTGAAACCTTTATTGACAGCTGCATGTGTTTTTTTGTTTTTTGTTGTTTTTTTACTCGCGAACACAAAATGAAAATATTCTTATCAAGATCAAATGTAATCCCATCATTGAAATACGAAAAATTGTCTGTCGGAAGACTAATTTGAAAGCAATTTATTTCAGTTGTAATGAAAATTTCGATCCGATATGCTTACAGAGTTTGATGTTTTTTTTAATAAAACTAATTTTTCATGCTGATCATTCCTTCAGAAGTTTCAAATGATTTCAATACCAATATTTCATCTATAATTCAAATCCTTTATTGAGATAGTACATTGATAATGAAATATATCAGATAAATGTTGTATACTCGAACATATAATCATCAATAAAAACCCGTTTGCCACAAGATGTCAGCATTGTTATTTATAATTAAAGCATTCCGCATTTATTTATTTATGACTTTGCACCTTCAATATCACAGATAAGATTTAACAGTACTATGAGCTGTTATTTCTTATTAATGTTTTTATGCCGTGATCAGCCTTCCTTCGTCAAAACACATGAGATCAATCGTACTTTCTACCATAACAAAGTAAATTTAGAGTTTTAATTTGTGTTCCTTGTCGCCGATTTTGTGGTATGGTGCACAGAGATATTATGTCTATTTTTGTCGATTAAGTGTTTGGTAATCACTTCATTCCAGATGTAAATGCTGCGTGGTCTCTACACCAGGTGTGCTATGGATTCATGGCCTCAATATATTAGTCTTTTACACCTAAAATGAAATATTGCTCTTTAATATACAATTATTAAGTGTATGCTTTCAGTGTTGACGATTGAATTTTGAACCAGCTTGGTTGTTATTGATAATTATAGTCAACACATATCTAGCTAGAAGGGCCATGGTGGATGATTAATGATAGAATGAAACGGTATTAATTTTCTGGACATATTCCAATTGTACCGAACTGCAGTCGTACAAGATATATCTCTCCGATAGCTTATTAGATCATGCTTCACTTCAATAACGAGTCTGTGAAATAATTTCCACAGCAGCGCCATTTTACATAGAGTAAATACGGAGAATTTGGTGACATTGTTCTACGTCATATACCATATTACTTTAATTAAAATCTACCAAACACTAATACTTCAATAAACATAGATATGGGCAATGTCTGACCTAATCCTTTATATACCGAGTACGTCTAGGGCACACCAGGGGCCTTCTCGTCCAGAGGTCATTCCTGGCAGCAATAATTTAATCTCTTGGTCAAAGGCAGGACAGAAAGCACGTGACCAACAGGCCCCGATTTCAACACAAGTGACCAAAGCTTGGGTCATTCTTACATCAAGGCCTTTAAAGCATCATCTCATTTCTTAATGTACATCACAACATGTGTTTGCATGAAGGGGACATTTACTATCTACTAGATATAATCACAATACTTTTGTGACAGATTTAGGTTAAAGAATTCTAAGAGCACGTTATACTTGTGCTTGACATTAGTCATGTAAGTATCTTGTAATGTAAAATATTCGAACTTTTAATATCCTTTAAACTCTTTCGTCAATATAAAAGACATCTCTGTACCATAATTCAGTTTTGATTGAGAAACCTGCTTAAACACGATAAAGAAAATATTGCAATTACTATATATCATTTCTCTGTACTTAGAGTCAGATTACCTTTACAATCATTTCTAAATTGTGGATCGTAATGGGAAACAATTTTCTAGATCTGAAATGTTTTCATCGGCTGTCTATCGCCAGCTGATAGTCCCAGTCATCAATAGGATACGGTTACTCGTCATTCATGTACAATTACACGCCTATTTCACAAATAGGTTTTACGGACGAAAATATCCTTTTTCATTAAATGTTGATTATTTCATTTGCGACAGAGTCTCTGAACTCTTTTAGATCTGATTTTGTTAACAGGACATATAGTACAAACGGCAAGATCAGTATGACAAGAAGCTTTCAGACAAGTCTGTACAAGGAGTTCATCAAATTACACAAAATAATTACAAATAATAAATTCCGTTTTGGTGTACGGGAAGTCAAATTTTAATATTTCATTAATAATGTTCATATACATCGACCTATTTAAAAATAGATGTGACATAATTTGTTTTAAATGTCCTTCAGGACGGATACATAAAAAAGAAAGATGATTACTTATTGAGATATATTGAAATCGCAGTGCCCCTTTCATGTACTCTGTTTACGAAATCTGAAAGAAGATTTTGCTAAAGAATTAGTTGTATTTACTTAAGTATCGTACAAATTATCTCTTCTATTGTCTTCAAAACGTAATAAACTCTATGTAAGTAATGTGTGTTCGGACATGGGGGGCGCTTAACGAAAATATAGGTACAATCGATCATACAGCCACGGTAAAGTTTAATTACGCGTAAACACTGTACAAAGAAACTTCAGATGAAAACATACCAATACATCTGTAAATGGTGGTAACGACTAGCTCAAGGTCAACCACACAACGTGTCAGGATCACCTGCACACTAAGACTATTTTCAATATACCCGAGAGTCGGAAGCCCCGTCCGGTACACATCGTCAAAACTCGACACCACAGAATCTGATAGGACATAATTTACCGGAGTTTTCACTTACGGCCCAGTCATAAACAATGAAAATTGTTTAGTGGAGAGATTAATAACTACAGACGGAGTGTAAAACTATCCTCGAAGCTACGTCAGTGACGTATGTCCAGAGTGTAGATACCTGTTCTTGAAAGCATTAACAATACTTTATAATAATGTAATCAGTGAGAGATAAGTGCAATCAGAGTGTAAGAGCGCTCGGACTGGTATTGCTTCAGTTCCCAGATAAGCTAGACGTGTATCAACACACTTGAACTTGGCGGTGACACCGGTAAGTACCAGGTCCTGTAAACACAGGTATCATCACAATGCTCTGTTATAATTTACTTCATCAGTATTGTTCCTCTAGTCAACTGTAACAGAAACATGAAGATTTCCATGTGTGGTAAGGTCCTTGTGTATATATCTTCCTTGAGAGAGGTAGTTTACATTTAAACTGAATCAATTTTACATTAACAAACCAAAACACGAAAATAGTAGTTGTAACATTAGCCATCACGCGCTTGTATGATTAATCACAACATTCCAATCACAAGACTACGTTCTGTTTGGTAAGTCACTTCGATTGATGATACCGCATGTGTTTCTTTCTATTTCAAGCAATAATTCATTTCCATGATACGCATCATTATATGTGACCATTTTTTTCTTTTAGATAATATTTTTTCATCTTCGAACTATTTTAAGTTTGAGTTCAAATGAACAAAATTGCATTCAATGCGACAATATGAATATGAATATGGTGTAATATATAAATCTTATTTCCTGATTTGGTCTCAAACATGTTTATTTCTAACAGCTTCTCTTAAGACTACATAAATCCCTTTTAAACTTCCATTGAACTTGTTTGATATTGAAAAAATAGATTAAACTATCAGTGTTGTGATGACTGATTAGTGTCAGTGGTTTGTAACCACAGTTAATTATTCTTACCTGTTTTCAGATGGTGCTACGGAAGCTCTTTACTAACACCAAACACTTCTATCAGACCTAGGTTTTAAAACAAGTTCATTTTTGAGTCCTGATACACGCGTAACAATGGCCCACATATCAACACTTGCGTGTAACATGTAATCTCTGATGATAAGTGATAATATTGTTCCACCTGAAGAATGATTACGGGTTTATAAGGTCAAAGCCCAGCTCATATCTTCTTTAGGGGTAATTGATCGTAAAATTGTTTTTTCGCGTGGTAGTGGTCAGTGGTGATACACATTGAAGGGAAAGGAGGACCGCTGTGGGACACGACGAACAGTCACGGATAATCGTATTCATCTAACTACATAGTGTTTGAAAATGGATGATATTCAGACCGACTGAATTAAGTAATACACTCCAAAATTGAGACAAAATAGCTTAGAGATGTGCAAAGAGTTGTCTGGCTGATTGTACCATGTTCATATGGAGCATGTTGTCACACTTGTTCAAGCTGTACGAAACAAGGCTTTTTTGTGAGTTGTGCTGACTGAAATACCTCGAAATAAACACCGAACTTTATTTTAAAGACTGTAATTATATATATATTGTGATAAAATGGCGAAACCGAAGGCCCAGTTGGGACTGGACACCGAATACGACGCCTTGAGACGAAGAATGAGCCGCATCCGAGTGAAGGAAGGCCAGAAACCGACAGTAGATGGTATGTACTAGGTCTGGGTATCTCTCCAGTTTATTATCGAGTTTTATGCGAAATTTAAAAGTAGTGTTTCGTTTAGTGTAGAATGATACTTGTAAAGTTCCTCAATAATCTCTTCAGTCCGTTAATTTCTTAACCATTATATAGTTCATAACCTCCCATATCATCTTCATAAGGTGACCCAATTTATTTGACCTTCGATCTATGAACCGTTTAATTCTATAGATAAGACGATTAGATACAACTGTTACAACACAAACTCGTTTGACGTGTAATTATAAGGAGGGCAATATTGAGGACAAGGAATAACTTTTCAATATCAGTTACAATCAATGTCTCAGAGTGTACCACTTACAAGTTAGAACCGCTTGTCAAGTACATAACCATATGTCTTGAAAGGTGATTACGACATATAATATATTTACAAGTTGAGGTTGCCTTTACACGTCATCATTTATGACCTCCGCAAAATTGAGAATGTCAATGTGTCTGCTAAGGGTTGTTCGAACAATGCAATAGTGTTGAACAATAATGACAAAATGACTCATTCAACATTACACCGTCTGCAGAAATTTAACACAACACCATGTAATAGTTAGGCACTCTTTTTCAATTTTCTTGGAAGGTCACCTTATTAACAGTGTAACAAAAGTGTTCGGTCTTTCCCTACAACCAAACCAAAAGGGAGAGCTTTCAATCAGCAAACCCGCCCTATGGAATGTCAAAGACTTGTCTGGAAGGTGTCATCGACTCAGTATCCTTAATATCTCTCCTGGTACTTCAGTTTCTATGTAATTTTTTCTTTTATTCAAAATTTTCGCTCGTTTCATCTAATTTGTGTTTTAATTAAGATGCACGTGGCACTGTAATTAATTTCTTTGTTCTATTTTTCTCATGCCGTCAATAGAAAAGGAGTTATGGTATATAACGATACAAATTGGTAGCCTCAGCTCTGTCCCTTTTAGAGATGTCTCCATGACGTAAAACACACGAATTTATGTGAGCGTTGCTATATACAATCTGCCTTGTGTTGTTAGCTTCGTAATTTTCTAAATTAAGATATTTAGCGAGTTTCCTCCACTGATTCCATTCGTATTCGGGTTGTTTAATTTGAACAACGAGAACATTGCACTCACTTGATCGGAACTAGGTCATGGTGACAGGATAAGATCCTGTTGGTTCTTTAGAGCTTTCTTAGTGACAAATAAAAACCTGATCAGTGTTAGAGTTTGAGAATGACATTTCACTTTTTATGCCAGTGTTTAGTTTCGCACTAAAGAAATTCAATACTGTTTCATACCAAGATAAAAGAACGTGTATAACAGGTCTCGTGTCTGTACCTGTTATAATGAACTGTATTTAAGTAACTCTAAAACCTACAGATCAGCGTACATTTTGTTGTTCACTTATAACTAGCCAAGCATGTTCACTATCTTAAAAACGCGTTACCTCTATCAGATAAAGGCGATGCATTTCCCGTGTTATACTCAAACACAAACATTGACTTTTAAATTTCTGTGACGTCGCTGTTGGTGGGCTATAATTCTGTGTATTGGATGTTGTGTTGTCCAATAAGTTCATATCAGTTAAAACTATTCGAGAATGCGGCTGTGCTTACACCCAAACTCAATGTCACGGGATAGAGACAAATGTAGTAATTTGAAAGAGGAAACAATGACAAAGTTTACCAAGAGAAATAAATGAAAGGAGGAAAAGCACAGGTCTTATTTCCGCTTCCACCCTGTAAAATAGGTATAACATACAGAAGCACGAGTAGGAATATAGGCATTTACTTGAGGTGAAATAATATCGAAAATTATCCAATTCATTCTATTTTGTACTTAATCATTATCTCCCTTTGGTTTTTGACTCTGTCGCGTCCCGGGTTTCAACAATTCAGGCCTTTGGTTTCACTGGAGAGTCCTAGATGGACGAAACTGATGTATAATGCAGCTTAATTTACTCTCTGACTACTTATTCTAACCCTATGTTTGTATCACTTTTGTACTGTACTTCGTATTATAATGCACATTTGCTTATATAGATTGGGTGGTCTTCATATAAATTTCATCAAATTTCAAAATTAGTAAACTTATGTCCCACTCAAATATTGTTTTCGTTTTTATCATAAATCTGACACAGCCAAAATCTTCATTCATAGAACTAATTGGCCTCACTAAGATCGAAAGGGAAGTTTTTTTAATCTTGAAAAACAAATCCAAAAACACACTGAAATAAGTGATGGATATTGACGTCCTATTCGACGAGTACGGAAATATCTTTTGTGGAAAACTTTGTTGTGCGTCAGTCGCACTTTCAATGTTATCAGTCCAGGTTTTTATACGATGGAATAGGATAGACTCAAATCTATCTATCATCTATCAAACGTTCACCCATTTTACCGTATAATGGATTTCTGAAAGGTATCGTTCCACATGTCTCCTCTGTATATTCTAGACACTTTTAGCATGGATTTACTATTACTAATGATGAAAAGTAGAGAGACGAAATGGCCACATGATTTGATAGATATTAAACATGAGTATCTGTTAGTTGTTTTCCACCTCAAGTAGGGTGATTCTTGAAGATGGCAATCAGTCCTCCATATTTACAGTGCAAATTGTTATATGACTATTTTGTCCTCGAGTTATTGTTTTCTTGATATAAAAGGCTTTCATGGACCGTTACCTGTGTTTTATTTCTATACATTTTCAGCACATTTACAATAAGAAAGTCACATTAGTGTTGCCTTAGTTACACAGAGGAGTACCCTAAATGAAGTGGTCATATGGTACAGTAAATTGATTTCCATTAATTTAAGTTGTGTCATCAGGCACTTCCTGTCTGCGAATATTTACATATTTTGTTACTAGCTGGTAGGTACTTCTGGTGGACTATCGATATTCCCTGTAATATTCAGTCATGTCACATATGTTCGAATCCGTGATATTTGTACTGTAAACTTGTGACTTAAATATGAAATATCTTTATAAATTCCGATATATCAAGATAGAATAAAATTTTACTCACCATGAGAAGGTAATGATTCGTATACATTTGTATATAAACTACTTACAGAGTACAAGACGTACTTACATCTTCAAGTCTTTGCAAGTTCGTTAATAAATCTGTTGACCTGTAAATCGTGTTTCTCAAAAATGTGTTAATGTGCATAGCATTAGATGGAATGTAGAATCAGTATCATTTTTCTGACTTCATTGAGATAGTTTACGAAAGCAAGCTATACCTGTGGACTCATAACTATGAGCATGCTATCCTTCAAAATATGAACAAATTGAACGCAGAATCACGTGTTCCGAACCATGTACCTAAGTCCTATTACTGGTCACGTGGCATATGTGATATCACTGCACATCAAGTTGGACATGAAATGTATTTCATGACCCGCGGAGCACTGAGAAAGTGTAGTTAATCGCCCTCTTGACTCGGACATTGGAGTAAGTTATTTATTTTATAGACATTTACAAAATCTTTTATTCTACTTTTGAAGTGGGAGTGAGACTTTGTTTAAATATTTACCTATCCGAAATACAAATACGAAATCCATTAAAATTTCAAAACAGACGTTTTGTAAAACTCTCGGGACATTTTAGTGTTTTGTATTGCTACTGATATGGTGAATTAATACTGCCAGCCTGAGAGCGGCTGTGATTGGAGATAAGACTTGTATGTCATTTAAAGTATTTAAATGTTGTTGATTAATTGTATAATTATCAATAAAGGAAACACGAAAACTAATAACATTTTGATAGAATTTGAATTTTCCTGGTGATCGATAACGTTTATTTAACAAAAACACTTCAGATGTGTTGTACCTGTACAAACATTGTTTAAAGGATCTGAGACCAATGAATTATTTCCGAGGACGTTACATAATGGTAGTCAAAATCAACGATAGGTAAATAAAATGCGTCCCTAATATTTACGTCTGTTATTTCAAATATTTCTGTTCTTCTCCCTAATTAATGGATCAGTATCTTCCACCTTGTCTTTATACAATACAGCTCCACATTTGTAATCTGAATTTCTCTTATAACTGCTTAAAACATTTTCACACCGGAGCAAGAAGTTGTTGTCAGAGTTGGAGCCCTTGATTCAATAACTTCACAAACGGCGGTTTTATTATTTTTGGCAATATCATATCTCATTCTCAATTTCTTTTGTACAACAGTTTTCAAGACCTGAATTTCTTTCTTCTGAAAATCTCATCTATTTCTTCTCCGCATTCCTTTTGAATGATTCATAAATTGTTTGACGTATGTTGTATCTTGTGTTTGTGTGCTGACGCTGTTTTATATCGGAGTATAGCGTATTTACACGATGTTATATCTGTTATAATTTAAATTAACAATTCGGTCTGGTTAACTCAGCCTTGTGTGTTTACACATTAGTGTAACCGGTCTGGTTAACTCAGCTTTGTGAGTTTACACATTGGTGTATCAGGTCTGGTTAACACAGCCTTGTGTGTTCACACATTGCTGTAACCGGTCTGGTTAACACAGCCTTGTGTGTTTACACATTAGTGTAACCGGTCTGGTTAACACAGCCTTGTGTGTTTACACATTAGTGTAACCGGTCTGGTTAACTCAGCCTTGTGAGTTTACACATTAGTGTAACCGGTCTGGTTAACTCAGCCTTGTGAGTTTACACATTGGTGTATCCGGTCTGGTTAACACAGCCTTGTGTGTTCACACATTGCTGTAACCGGTCTGGTTAACACAGCCTTGTGTGTTTACACATTAGTGTAACCGGTCTGGTTAACTCAGCCTTGTGAGTTTATCCATTTGTGTATCCGGTCTGGTTAACATAGCCTTGTGTGTTTACACATTCGTGTATCCGGTCTGGTTAACTCAGCCTTGTGAGTTTACACATTGGTGTATTCGGTCTGATTAACACGGCCTTGTGAGTTTACACATTGGTGTAAGCGGTCTGGTTAACACGGCCTTATGAATTTACACATTGGTGTATCCGGTCTGGTTAACACGGCCTTGTGAGTTTACACATTAGTGTATCCTGTCTGGTTAACACAGCCTTGTGTGTTTACACATTCGAGTATCCGGTTTGGTTAACTCAGCCTTGTGAGTTTACACATTGGTGTATTCGGTCTGATTAACACGGCCTTGTGAGTTTACACATTGGTGTATCCGGTCTGGTTAACACGGCCTTGTGAGTTTACACACTGATGTATTCGGTTTGTGATTGGGATGTAATACAACTTCCTTTGCATGTTCAAATATAAAACATTTTCCATCTGTATCATGTGATGGCAAACGCGATCTCTAAGATATATGTTCACTATTGACATTGTAGCACCAAAAATAGATCTCACTGTAGATGATATCGATAAGAACAATATATCTTAATGAGTGTCTAGTGAGATAGAAACGGAAACCCGTGGTAAGTTTTAAAAATCTGGTAAAAAATGATTTTCTTTTTACTGAAATTTCGAATTTTATGACGTCATTTATTAATTATCAGAGAAGGAAATCAGATTTCATATACTATGTCATATATGTAAAATATCGTGGAATATCACGTGATAGATGACGTCAATGACGCATTCTTTTCCTTGTTTTAGATATGGACATTGTAGAAGAAGAAGAGGACGAAAATTTTAAAGATCTCATAAAATTCTGGAAGAAACACAATGTTGGCTTTGCAAAAGAAATGATGAAGATGGTGGAATCTAACAAAGGTTTGTTTGAGATTGGTTTAACAAGCAAATAAAGGTTTGCGTGATACGTAACTTTTTCTGTAAAAGTGTTCGTTAATAATAATCCAGTGACAGCATGCTTTATAATCGTGGCTGTGATAATATCTGTTAATAATAGAGAAATTAGTAAAGAGAACGATAATATATTGATATACGTAAGAACAGTGTCTGCCCTAAAAATCTGTTTATTTAAGAAACAATAATGTGTGTTGAGCTTGATGTTCATTATAACACGGTTGACTTCATTAGCTAGTCTTTTGTTTAAATACTTTGTAGAAACCTTTATTTCTCAAGATTAATTATTAGTTACTCTATACAAGAAAACATTTTCTTCGAATTGATTGGTCAAAATTACGGACAATTATAACTATGAATAGATAAGTTTTTTCTCATTGTACTTTTATTTTAACAATAGCCAAGAAAACAACAAAAGCAAGGGGCAGAAGGAAGTCGATCGAGTTCGAGGATTTAGATCAGACATCATCTGGACAGTTAAGATTACCTGTACATCTCAAGTCAAAATCAGGGCAAATTCCCGAGGAGGAGAACGAAGAAGCTGACGAAGTACCATCTATAAGGAAACCACGCAAAGCGTTGTCACAGAAACAACGCAGTTTCACCTCCAGTCGGACTAACTCGAGATCGAACATGGCAGCAGGGGAAACAGCGTCGACGCGAACGGATGGACAGGCAAAGAAACATGTCTTCCGTAGGGCAGAATCTGAAAACCTAACTTCGAAGTTGTCATCAAATACGAAATTGACTCGTGAGAGGATAGCGTCCGAGTCTAGCTATACAGCAAAAACGGTCAAAAAGAAATAGCACTTCACACCTCCTACATGAAACCAAAATGCTATTGTGTTTTGATGAATGTGTTTTTGTTGTCAATAGAACACTTGTCTGTGATAACAATTGCAATTCACCAACAGGTGAAGGTAATTCATTGACGTATTCTGTATGGAGACGACTGTAAATATTTATAGTGTTGATCAAGTCATCACTCGCGAAAACAAATAAAATCTACGTATTGTGTGCTCTTTTGTTCCCGGTTTAACGACTACATACTTTGTCTACAGAGACTGTCTGTCTGAGCCTGTAAGACATTAGTGTATTTCTATGTTTAAACTTTGTTTTATCAATAGTTTCGTAATAAAATTATAAGCGTATTTGTAGTTGGTGATGAGTTGCATGTTCTGTGGTGTAATTTCTATTGATTGATTGGCTATAAGAGTGGTTTTACATTCAAAGAATGTACATGTACGTTTTTATGTTATTATAATTTTATTAAAATCATCACAAAAATTGTACAATGTGTTTCTGTGTAATAAGCTATAAAATACGTCACCAGGATCATTGATACGGTTGAATGGAGAAATGCTGAATTGTGTGAACTAATCTGATGTCCTATCTCTTAGATATACATCTTCTTAACATTTTAAACCATATACATTACAAAGATTATTTTCTCCAATTTCTCGTCTTATTAAAGTTGTCTTTGTTCCTCCAGCCGTCTTACCTGCAGACATTTATCTTCGTACACGGATGGGAGTAAATATAAACATCAGTAACCATTGTGAACGTAGCCTAAGTCTAAGAATTTATCTCAGTATTGATGTAAACAACACATATAAGGAATTAAATAGCTACATGTCTGTGTCATGACCAATAAAAGGTGATATAACACCTACAAGCATATATGAATTTATGTACTTTACATTAATAATAACTACAAAGTTTGCAAAACCATGTGCAATATTTATGTACAGGCAAAGAAAGTAGCATGTCAAACATAACGGATATATCACAAAAAAGTATGTTGATTTTGTTTACGCGCAATTCGCCGCTTATAACATTGTCAAATTGTCACGTCTCTGTTTTAGATAAAAAAGTTAATGTTGACAGTGAATAAAGAATTATCCCTCAGAAGAAATCGCTATTTAATATATTATACAGATACGAAATACTGTAACAGTTCATGGTTAGTGTGGAAAATCTTCCTATCATTTTCTTATACGTTACATCATATCAAAAGTAATAGGTACCACTGATACCGGTATCGGTACATTTTGTATACAGGTGTTGAGACCGAGAGTCTGTGTTTATGTTACCAATCACGACTTATCAAATGTTGATTTAAGCTACACCTGTAGTAATGACAGGGACCCAAACAAGACCAGGAAAGTAGTTGAGTGTCGGAACAAAAGAAAAAAGAAAATGAGGATGGTATCAAATTAATTGTTACAGATAAATAATCTTGCTGTCTTGACATTTCTGAAACCTGATCAAGCATGTCGAGTCGGGATGATATATCAGACATTTAAGCAATTATTGTTTGATAGAAGTGTGATGTTCTCGGTATATATCAAGGCACGCGTAATTAATGGGATCAATTTCTATGTCACCAATATCCTTCACAAATGAGATCTGAAGGGAACCTTTATAAATAAGTCTTATGACAAAAAACAGTCTATCCTTCATGTGAACGATGGAATATAAATTATGAGATACTAAGTGTTACCTTGATATCCTGCATTGTTTTCTACAATGTGTAATGCATATGCGTACGACAGCAATCATATGGCACGTGCAAAAAGTAACAAAACACCTGACATTGAGTAATCTTACCCTGACTACATACAACCACAACAAAACCTTTGTTAGTTTGTCACCACTTTTGTAAAACCGTGGTTTATGAAATTGCTTCCCCTAAGACTCATGTTAACAAGAAAAATTATTGTTCGCATTTAAAACGAACAATCGGAAAATACAGTCATTTTCAATCACAATTGCCTTGTTATGTTACCTGGCAGGTAGCCATACACAGGTGTATATCATTTTTCATAAAGAATCATTCAGTTTCATAATATCTCACACTCTCTCCGGAAACAAAGCTTGAACAAGTTTTTGTGTATTCGTTGATCAATTATGATATCTTTCAAGGTTATTCTCTGATTACATAAATACCTGTTATGTATGACAATACAGATGGAAGTTGTCGGAAGGTATTCCAGGTATTTTGTATTATATCATTTATCGGGTTGATAAGCTGCCTAGATGTGTAGAGCGTAATAGTTACTAGGTGAACACACACGAACGTTGGTATAAAACACACACAAGTGTTCGTGTTTAGTTAAGCGTTAAACTATTATGAAACAAGTTTTCAGTGATCCATCCTGTAATCGTAAGTCGGACACAAAATATAAGAAAACAACGTTTTTATATGGTTCAGTCAGACGTTAACGTGTAAATGTGTAAAAACATAAAATAACAGGTTTGCCCTGATAAAATTATTATTCGTTCGTGTTATTTTTAGTGTATATGGTAACATATCTTAATGTTTTATGATTTTAAAGTCCGTTGTTGGGCACGATAGAATGACAGCGATGCACACACCACGGGTATACGTAACAGACAAAAAGGAAAAAAAGGAAATCCAAAAACATCCGCCACAAGGTGGCGTTTTCCTTTTGACACCAAATGGGGTGGAGCTAGATTGTTTTTTTTTTTTTTAAATCGGGAAAGAAAAAAAAACACGACGAACCAAAGAACTTCACTTTGCGTAAAAACAACGAGAAAATAATTATCATAAAAATAAAGCTTTCAACTATATAAATATGCTTTAAAAGCTGGACAATGGAATGTTCATCAAGTAATCTTTTGATATTATGAAGGACGGTTTATTTCAAACGTATTAATACGACTATTCACCACTGGCATATCTGCGTTCTAGTGTTTTCTAAAGCTAAAGGGAGCCTACTGAAAATAACAAGCCGGTGTGTATACCTGTAGGTTTTTGTAACAATAGCGGAAAAATGCGCGGCTAGACGGGGTTTGAACACGGGACATTCCGAACTCTAGACAGATGTTTTACCTACTGAGCTAACTGGTCACCGACGATCGACCCCGTTAAGTTCCGCTTCATTTTTTAGACATGCGCAAGAAAACTACAGAGAGTAACTTCCTGGTGTTTAGGACTACAAATGATGAAAAAATGTAAGTTAAATGTTATATTTTTGCAATCTTAGTCATATGCAAACACGAAGGCTTTAATATACTCTGATGAAATGGTTTTTAAAAAAGCAATTGTTCTTAAACATAAAAAGCAATTGATCTAAAATAGTGTCTTTTAGTCATGTCAGTGATGATTCAATGTGAAACGAAAGTAAACTCATATTGAAAGACGATCTTCTATTTGTACAATGTTCAAACAACGATGCAACATTTTGATCAAAATGAAATCAGTGACATCGCTGTATGAATGAATAGTGAAAACAAGCCTTATTTCACAATCTAGAAACCAAATCAAGGTAGATAACTCTTCTGATCTTGTGATAAACTATTAACGCAAACTCAACTTTATATCATATCAATGACAAAATAGTAAAAGCTATGAACTATTTGTTTATATGTTGTATTGTTGTATAGATAATGATGACGATGATGATGATGATGATGATGGTGGTGGTGGTGGTGGTGGTGGTGGTGGTGGTGGTGTTGATGATGATGATGATGATGATGGTGGTGGTGGTGGTGGTGGTGGTGATGATGATGATGATGGTGATGGTGGTGGTGGTGGTGGTGGTGGTGATGATGATGATGATGATGATGATGATGATGATGATGATGGTGGTGGTGATGATGATGAGAATGATGATGATGGTGGTGGTGATGATGGGAAAAAATTATACAAATAATCAAAAGGAATGATTTGATAAATATGGACAGAATGGATAGCTATAAGATACTTGTTTATATCACTTTATTTCAGCGAGAGTAATTATGATTGAATCTAATTTTTTTGATAATTCTCTAATTTTATATCACATTTCAGAACATTGTCACTAAACCTTGCCTTTGATATTACTACTTATATTTGATTTGTCACAATTTTTCTTACACAGATACCTGACGTATGGGGAAACTTCGCAGCGAACAATGTAAGTCAATCTGATCTTATGTTTCTGTCACATTAAACTAGGTCAAACAGGTTGGATACGTGCACTTGTGACATATTCACTATGCCTTGGAAGAACGAATTACTTTGCAGAATACAATTCCAGGATCACACAGGCGTTCAATCTCTTCTACAGTCCGGTACTTCAGCTAACCGAAAATGTGATGATGACCCTTCCCCTCTGCTCATAGCGATACAAAACAGTGATTTTCATATGGTGCAGTTGCTGCTTGATCATGATGCACTTGTTAATATACAGGACTCCGATGGGGAAAGCGCTCTTCACTACGCCACGCAGGACACAGTCGAACATGAGGTCATGGAAATACTGCTCAGGGCTGGAGCTGACTTAAACTGCTTAAATAAATGGTTAAGGACACCACTGCACTATGTATGTTACGGAGGCGATTTCAACAAGATGGAAACAATTTTGCAATTACCAGGAACACTGGTAAACGTACAAGATGAAGATGGGAACACATGTTTACATGCTTTAATGACCTTTGATGAAGACGAAAATGATGGTGAATTTTGGAGCAGAGCTATAAATATGCTGATTGAAGCTGGTGTTGATGTCAATATCACCAACACAAAAGGGCAGACGGCTTTACATATGGCGGCAGAACACGAATTTCAACCGGAAATAATATTATCTGCACTTTTGAATCAAAGTGTAGATTTTGAATTTGAGTTGCAAGATGCAAACGGAAACAATTTCCTGCTGTCTTACATAAGGCGCCAAGGCAGTGACAGACCCCTTTTGTTCAAAATTCTTAACGAACAGTTCCAGTCATTTCAGGTATCGAGTTCTGGATCTATCAGTAATATCGTCAATATGGAAGCTGAGGACAGCGAAACACCTTTTCTGAGGTTTTTATTTGGGTCTAGCCATTTTGATTTGAATATCTTTCAAGAATTTGTTCGTTTTGGTGCAAATATTAACAAACCCAATAGTCTGGGGAGGACACCTCTTCATCGGGTAATGGCGACGGAAATCATCGGTAACCGACGTAGTGTATGCAGAATCCTACTAGATGGGGGCGCCAACACAAATCTTCAGGATGAATTTGGCCTAACGCCAATATTTTGGGCAAGATCAGTGAAACAAATATCTTTAATCTGTGATGCCGGTGCTGAGGTAACAATTACAGACAAATTTGGACGTAACGCTATGATGAATTTACAAGCTCAAAGAAATCTTAAAGCGATAGAGGAGTTGTTGCTTAGAGGATGCAGTGTCAATGCTTGTGATAAAAATGGGTCCACCGCTCTCCATTATGCAGTGTGGATGAATGATATCAATATGGTAGAAACGTTCGTAAGAGTAGGAGGAAATACTTCGCTTGCAGACGAAGAAAACCGTACTCCCGTCAAACTGGCTGAGTTGTTAGGCTATACAAAAATATATGACTTTTTAAAGGGACACAACATAGAATCATGCAGCCTAGAAGCAGAAGGACAGAAAGGATCAGTCGAAGTCATATATCAACGACACAACTTTTCCGAAAGAAATGTTTGGCCTGGTAATCAACTGATCATAAACTATGAAGACTTCGTCAAAGCGGAAAATGACACTGAACTTTTGGAGATGCAGCGATATAATGGCAAAGTGCTTGCAAAACAACTTCTGCTTAACCCAGGATCAGGAAAGCTGTTTGACAACCAAGAGACTAACCAAGTCATTGATGCTGTTCAAAGCCTGATAAAAAGGCTATCAAAACGAATATCTCAACGCGATCCTAGATTAAAAAACGACATTATACCTATGGGAAGTATGAGAGAAGGAACCAAGACAGGCTACCCTGATGAATTTGACTTTGTCTGCTGTCTCTCTGGTATCCTCGAGCACTGTCACATCATGAACGACAATGTTCAAAGCCAAGAGAATTTTGTGAGAGTGAAACTGAAAGAAGAAGCGCACCTACCTTCTAAAATGGAAGCTTTCTTTGACAGAAATGGATATCTGAAAACATATGATGTTAGGATTGAACTTTTCAGACTAATCTGGAAGATTTTACTCGAAAAAGAGTTATGGCAGGATACGCAAATCCTTTATGCCAGTGAAGATGAGGAAAATGGCTTTGACCATATGGCTGTCCTGAATTTTCAAATTTTATGGATTGGTCGACTCTTTAAAGGTCTCAAAATCAGTATCGATTTAGTCCCTGCCATACGTGTAGTCAACAATTTTGTTAGTTTCTCCAAGAGAGACAATAGTCGTATTCCATTAGAGAATATGGCTATTGAAGCAGGACACTTCCTGCTGTTACAACCCCCAGAAGATATTTCACCAAAAACCATAGACACCTTTCAAATAGAAGATGTGAATTTGTCGAGAACAGAAATTATCTACGACAGTGACACACGGGATTATTTTGATAGTCTCCTTCGACTGTCATGTGCACCAATGGAAGTTTCGTTCCTGGAATCCTTACCGAACTTTGTAAGAGAGAGTTACAGATTGGCGAAAATTATAAGAAGTCAATGTCCTAAGGTGAGGTTTACTTCAGATTTCTTTAAAGAACTGTATGCTAGGGATGCAGTGGAAATTACACAGTGTGAAGATGTTCGTTTTGATCCAGGTGAATACGATGAATGCTGTGATCTCGTGAGATCATTGAAAGAGGCGTCTGGCACTGATGAAGAAAATATCTTGGAAATGGACGAAGCAACTAACGCAATGCAGACAACCTCCGGGTCTTTATTGAAATCGGATTTATCCGATGTTGCCTCCTCGGACGGTTCATCTAATATTTCCGATCTATCGTATGATACAGATAACGACGAAGAAAGTGAAACCACTGATCCTATTTATGAAGCCAATGAGGATATAACAAGTTACATGTTGAAGAACGCTTTGTTTCATTTGATTGGAAAACAACCAGAACTATGCGATGAAGATTTGAATCAGATATCAGATGAAGAACGGTGGCAGACCACTGTGGACTTGACAATCAAGATATTCGAATTTCTCAAGAGTGTTAATGACACCGGATAACTCCTTGTGTATTTCCTTCCCCAACAAAACTTGTTTGAATTCATATATGAATTTCGTCGGCCAGGTGACCAAGAGGCCATGAGAAGAAAAATTCACACCATTAGAAGGAGGAGGAGGGTTTTTCTCAATTTGATATTAACAATTATGAGGGCTTCGTGAAATTTTCTGTCTGAAGTTATTAACGTTGGTATATTTAAAAAATTACGAAGTAAGAAATGGTATTTCAATATATATATTCTGACATAAGACCTCGCTGTTAATTAACTTTCCAATTGTATACCGCGGGATGCTCAAATGACATCGACATGAAAATTTTCAAAAAGAGAAATCGTTGGAAGAAAATTCTAGCAAAATATGTTTATAAATTAATTATAACCTGACCATAGGCGTGTATGTAACTTATATATATATATATACAATCTGTATATAGAAAAAACTTGATTTGACGAGATGCGAGTAAATTATAAATAAAAATGATTTTTGACAAAAGAAGAAAGACGTTACATTTTGCACTAGCGCTTTCACTGTATTAGATCTTCAGGTGCATAGTAACTGTACATAATGGTGTGTTGTCACAACATGTTATCTGTTGATGACGTCATAATATAAAAGGGGCATAATTATATTTTGCAAACTTTACAATGCGGTTAAACATTAATATTCAAGTCTGGTTTTAAAATGTTTATAATTTCTGACTCCTTGGCTTCTCTTTGTATTCGATTGGTTTCAGATGAAAAAGTATACAGGGGGAATATTTGGAAAAAGCCGTCGTTGCATCCTGCTATGTGTCGGCTGATTGGTAGATGTCTATATCTTTCGTGGAATATTTGTTCGCGATGTAATGTTACGCGTTTGCGGAGGTTTTCTGTTTGTCCTATATAGAAACTTCCACATTTTGGACAAAGGATTAAGTAAATCACGTTTTTTGATTTACAGTTCATACTGCTTTTAACTTCCCACTTCTTTCCACTTTTTAATTGTAAGGAATTCCCTGTTATGATATGTTGACACGTTCCACATCTCTTTTCTCGACAAGTATTGACTTCCGGTAACTTTGTTTCTGATGTTTCTTGTCGAGAAAAGAGATAACATGTTGTGACGCCACACCATTATGTACAGTTACTATGCACCTGAAGATCTAATACAGTGAAAGCGCTAGTGCAAAATGTAACGTCTTTCTTCTTTTGTCAAAAATCATTTATATATATATATATATATACTTAGCGGACACTGAGCTTTTGATATTTTCACTATATATATATATATATTCTTATATATTTGAGTATTTAATTTAAGTTGACATTGTCGTCGTATTTATATGAAAACAAAATAAGGCATATTTAAGAACGTGTCCGAAAAGTATAATAATTGCAACATCATTTTAAAACGAAAATAGCAATGTAAGATAAAGTTAAAGAGTAATTGCCACATCATACCGCACTCATTATACCTGTGATCTGTGTTAGAATTAAGTTTGGATTCAGCCTTATACAGAATACCAGTGCTTTTTGTTACAGTTTAAGGTTGTATGCGGTGTTATACAGAATACCTGTGCTTTTTGTTAGAGTTAAGGTTGTATGCGTTGTCATACAGAATACCTGCTCCTGCTAGAAGTAAGCCTTATACAGGAAACCTAATACGTGTTAAGTCGAATGCAACCTATACAGAAATTAGGTAGATTTGTAGTCTGATACAGAATACCCTGTTTCACATATATAACACGGCTAAGACTTTACCTTATATATTATACGTGAACCTTAGGTTGACTTGAATTAATACGTCTGAAACATCTTTGGTTTTTATGATATTTGAGATCAACTCTTTGTTTTCTTCTATTTTATATGGCAGTTGCTAAAGTTGTCTTATCTTAACAATTTATTAAAATTTAATCGTTTTTTTTAAATTCTCTCTAATACAGCAGTGTTTACCGTAGTTCCGAGTTGACATGAAATACGCGATATATATCAATGATAAGAAAATATTGTATGTCTATAAATGCTTCCAACATATCTGACCAGATGTTGACCTTCCGCTATATGGCAGTGCAATGAGTTCATGATGCTATTGAACTGTGGTCAATCTCCATTACTAGATCATTTCTCGGAAGCATTGATGATAAGCAATGGTTAACTACCAATAAACTTATTATGAATGTAAGTAAATCTATAATGTTTGATTTCTACAATTAAACTTACACTTCATCAAACCTTTTAACAACACTCTACTAATGCATCTAATTACTTCGTTTAAATCCTGACCTTAGTAACATTACAACACTGGTTTTCAGATTCTGTGATAGCATTTATGTTATTGTATGGTAAAACACCATATTTATATCTATTTCGTCATTTAATCACCAGGCAACATCATGTGTCGACGCATGATGTCATAATGAAAGTGTGTTTCAATTGATAATTAAAGAATAAAATTACTAAATAGAAATGATTTTACAAAATATACCAGTGACACACAATGATGAAAGGAAAGGGTCTAATCAGGTAAGTGACCAATTAAACCACACACTAGAATTCACAAAGATATTATTGCTTGTGGCTAGTTATTGTGTATACTTTGATCGGAGGATAGTGACACGATAGCCCATCAGAGGTTTACCTCGGGTGGGAGATAAATCACAAGGTCGGACTAACTACCGTTACTAACTACTGCTTATAACAATATGTTGCAATGTCCATATTTGTATGTAAATATCATTACCTGTATAAGTAGAGTTTCACCGCTCTATCAGGGTATAAAAGTTTATCTTGAAATATCATTTTAACCCAAAGCTTCCACTGGTGGAGTCTCAATCCTTAGAATTCGTACCAATAGGATATACACAATGCATACTTGTAGATGGAGCCATTAAACATGATTAAACTCAATTTAAATTTAAGATCGTTAAGCAAGTGTTCCAAAAGAAACATTTGATACTAATAATAAATAAAACCATGTAGAGAAATAAGAGCCCATTACCTACCTAATACAGGTACTCTTGCCAAACTTTTTTTGTTGGGGGTTTGTTGTTGCTGTTGTTGTGTTTGTTGTTTTTTTGTTTCATATCGCTAGTGTTAACACGCATTTTCATTTGTATTTATAACTTCCTGTTTGACGTTATATTAATGATATTCAGTAATTTACATTGTCTCTAGTTGATTCACCTAAACAGTACTGGAATACAAACCATATGCTGTTTTAATCTGAATACTTGTCGATGATTTCAATTAATATTGTGTAAACTTTAAAGAAACATGTCATGAACATTTTCAGCTATATCACATGTACTTCTTTAATTATTGGCCGTTGGTCAAACGATACCGGTGTAATAGTGGCTATCGAGGAAAGTTGGAACCTATGCGCGCGAACACCCCAATAAGATATCAAATTTTGAAAATATCGTTGTTTTGTCGTTTTATATGATGACATTCAAACATCTCCTACATTAAAAAAAACAAAAGACTTTACCCTGAATGGTTAGTGTTGTAAAAATACACGGGATAAAGGAAGTAAGTTTTTGCTTTTATCGGTTCATCACGATTCAACAAACGTTTCAAGGGGGGGGGGGGGGGGGGTATTTCATTTTTTGGCCTTGTTTATTAGTAATATGAAAATTTGATAATAGTAAATACTATATATTATACCAAAAGAAACAAATTTAGAAAAGTTATTCTGTGTGGTATAGCCCAGATATCAACCCAGCTAAACGCCATTGATATGTGCAGTCTCTAAAATATCATATCATCATTACGTTGCATAATTTAATGACGAAATACCATTGATGATTCATTATAACGATAGTGAATAGATTGATTAAGACTCGTAATCATTACATTAACAGCGATGATTATGAAATAGCCATTTTAAAGAATATATACGTGGAGGCTCGTTTACTGGTAACTAGTGTTAATCATGCATCAGAAAAAATGTTCCATCAGCTGTGATGTACCTCTTGTGTATGCCTGATACTTGTCAGACGCCAATCAATCGTTCCGTTTTTCTTTTCGTGAACACTACTTCTTTATGATAACACGGAGTCAATAATGTTATAACATGTCACAGAGGGGGAAGATATCATATTACACGTATTGATACGTTTATGAAGGTGTCCAGAAGACCAGAAGAAGTGACTAGGAATATTTATCTCTTTCCTATTTTAATATCTCATTTAAACTCAATTCATACGTGTCTGTTTTAATCGTACGTTTCCAGTATATAAAATGGTATTTATAAACTTACCATGGATGCACCATACAAAATGATTTTATACATGCCATGTATGAATCATATAATATACTTTTGCAATCATTCAGTTGTTTATTATTTCAAATTGTGTCAAGTCAATGTACCAAATGTACCAAACTTGTGTCTATAATACGACCTGAATTGTTTTTACTTTATAAAATTATGATCTTCAATCTGACCTTGAAAATAAATGGGATGTATAACGTACATGTTTGTTATGTCATATTGTTAAGGACAATAAGTTTGTACCAGGATCGATTCGCTTACATAAAATGAGAGTTGATCAATCAATCAATTCGAGGATTTCATACCACAGGTTTGTGTTTACAAGATGAAAATTTTGCATAAGATTGTCATTTTTTTTTCAGGAATTCAAACCACTGTGACCATGTACAATGTGTGGAAATGACAAAAAGTACAACTTGAACACAACACAAATTGATCTTCAACTACATTAGAGTATTTACAAAATGGACGGTTTGGAGTTCTTAACATGAAAATATATCTAGCTTACAACACGTACAACACAACGTGAATCATGTTAAACAAGACAAAATGAATCGATTCATATTGATAATTAGTAATAAATCATTAACTGTTACTGTGACACTCTTTTCTGAGATTAAATATCACACTAGTTACTCATTCGATTGGCACATCCATCAGGAGTTTTTCTTTGGCTTCTTTTTCTTAGAACTTGATTTTGCGAGTTTGTGAAGTTCTGATGTTAATTCCTGTTCCTCGACAGTTTTTCGAGCACGCCGAACAGATTTAGTAGCCGCGGGATTTCCAATCCAGTGAAGGTCTTCCAAGGATGACACAGCAGACGAAGAAGACGTATCAGAGCTATCCCGATTCTCGCGACTGCTTGTATTTCTTCTTTCAGGAGACAGAGATCCTGACGCGGGCCGATACAGATTCCGTCGCGCCATTAAACTTTTGGCCATATTTGGTGCTTCGCGTAACTTGCCCGTCTTCGTGTTCATCTCAAGGTCTTCGAATTCGTGTGACATTCGACGGCCTCTTCTATTGGCATGGACCATACCTTGAATGAAATAAATCTATACATTTATTCCGACATAGGTTACTAGTTTACATGTTAACATAAAAAAATTACCGTGACAAAAGTTGGAAATTTTACTTCTGCAACAAAACGAAAAAAAATATATATATATTATATGAACATATCGTAAACCTTACATTCTTTTCTCTAAATAAAAGACTAATTTATCTGTCACTTAGAGTAAGATTCACGATATGGTACTCAAGTTGAGCCTTAAAACCATTACATCAATATACATGATCGTTCCTAATGCGTTGTAATGGTCAGTATGGAAATAGGCTTCATATCATACGGGTTTTACCTTGTCGAAATACCCGTACATAGCGTTACTTCTTAAAATAATAATAGAATAATATTCCTTTGATATATAATAGAATGATTTCTACAAAACATGATGGAAACTGTCGAACCTGCAGGTACAACATTTCTTTTATGTGAACTTTTGATTTTTCCACACTGTACACCAACATATCAAATTCTACACTAAAGGAACGCATTCGTTCTGTGGTTCTGAGCTTTCTCCTCCATCCTCCAATACGGCGGTATAAATATATGGTTGTGAACTATACTGAAGCGTATTTCGTAAAAACGTCCAAATCAAAGAATTAATATACGGAGGAGGGAATCACAAAAAAGATCGAGTTTATTTCTTTGTTTGAAATGAAACTAGACGTATTTTATGCTCGTTAGTTTGCCTATTGGTTCCGTTGTTTACATTTGGGAATGTGACATTTCTTACATGGCAGGTGTTGTCGATGAAGCAGAAAACGCCAACTCATCCGGAACACCTGACTATTCCTCTCCTTGTTTTAGGTGTCTCCGTGTAAATCTTTCTTTTGTTAATATTTTACCCTAGTTTTATGGAATTTGAGTCTGAATTATGATTTTGTTGCCATGTTGGTATTTTCATGTTTTATTTATTTAAATGGCCACCACTTTTCATTTTAAAAGTCATAATTTTGCTAAATTATTCCTTTTACAAAAACCATCCATGAAACAATTCATTAAGTTATGGTCAATACGGTTATAACTTAAAGATCAAAACACCAGCCACGTTGAATCCCTAGCTTTAGAGAAGGACATAAATATTGATATAGAAAGAGAAGAGGTTTGGGGTACAACGTTAAGTATGTGATAAGCTGAATTTATCACTAGGAAAACAAACACTGACTCAAGTAGGGAAGAGATACACCTTTAAATTGCCAGTGCCTTATTGTTGTGAAGGGACGTCATCAGACCCGTAAACACTTGGAATTTTACCACGATATGCCTAACTCTATGGGAGTGCTATATCTATCTAATCTATATCAACGACCTATCTGTGCCACATACTGTGCCCACCCTGATCTTTTAAGCAGGTGTTTTATCCCTTAGCCGTTTGGTAACCCAGCACACTTTTAAACGATTTGATCAAATGTGTTCATATAAACTTAATCTGAAACCAACGTCCATGTACCAGTATACAGTGTTGTCTGTCCTTATTTAGTGGTAAAAATGGGTCGGACACACGATAATATTACAATACACATCTTGTAGTATTAGACTGAGGTGAAAGGTTATCTATTATGATATATCTAGTTCACAAAAACAAAAGCCAGTGAGTTAAGAAAGTGACTCAAAATACAAATTCGAGGAATTTTATACAAACTTTAACAAGAAAGAATGAAAATTATTTGTATAGGTTACACGTAACTGATTTGACATATTTCGCATTCCAAGAAGAGTCTTTTAAACATTAAATCATCATTTCACAGTAAAATCCTCTGATATAGTGTTTTAATACTTGCCAGCCTGAGTTAGACTCGAGCCGGATCTACCGAGACGTGGTGACCCTCGAGGGCTCTCTGATAATGTTACCGGCCATGGTTCGGTCGGTATATGACGTAGTTCTTCTTCCTCCTCCTCGATATAGGTACTGTTCCCCTTCTTTACCTTTTCTGACAAAAGAAATGATTTTATCCACTTACTTCAAGTTGAGGACAATTATATATTAAATATATGTCTTTTAAAATTATATGTCATCTCATGTGTATGATGCAGTTTAATTCATTATTTGGTTCTACTCTAATTCTAAATTTTGTATCTTTTGGTGTATGTAATCTTTGAGATTAAAGGCAGACACTGGATCAGGTCAGAAATCACTTAATGGGTTTCTTTTTTTAATTTATTTTGGGGTTTGAGCACCTCCCAATATTGTTTTTGAGATTAATTTCAGCCAATATTGATTTTCCTCAGTCGTCACGTAGATTCCACAAATTAGGCTCTGGAAGGACAAAATAGCTGTGTGGTGTAGTTTTACAACTTTGTATCGACAGTATCTAATACTGAATCGGTATTCATATGTGGTTTTAGGTTCTGGTATGTACTATCTATAAAACAAACAAATATAAAATGTGGTAAATAACAAATGGTACATAAAATAAATAATCTCATCTAAAATGAATTTTCTACGGGAACGAGAATATGTAAATTAACTTATTCATGAATTTTCAGAGGGAAGGAGTGGTTAATGAATTATCATCGAGAATGATGGTTATCATAAAGGTATCAGTTTCTTTAAAGGAGCTCACGTAATGATACTTGAGCTAGGTTTTTCTTCGGGATACTACAAATAGTTTATCTTTTCACCGCGTCCGAGCCTGATGATTTCAACTACAATTTAACTGAGGTGTAACACAAAATATTGTTAAATATGACAAAGTCGATTTTTCTTTAAAAATCTATTAAAGAGAATGATCATCTGAAGGCATACATTTCTAAACTGTCTCCTATAGCAACGTATACGGATGTCGATAAAACCAATAAGTTTAGTGAATACAAAAACAAGAAATGTAAACCTGTAAAAGTGTTAAAAACAACTAAAAGTCAATTCACCATCGGTTTTGGTTTTTACAACAATCATAGTTATTTTATAAATCGAGATTATTACTCGACCTAACATAAGTCAGTGTAATCGTCTGGAACATTACGGTATTAACTTATAACTAAATGTTTGATTTACCAACACCCTGTTACATAACATTGTAACATTGTGATAGATGTAATGAAGTTAATGCTGTGAAATAGCCAAGTCAGGCAGCCCTGATAAGGTGGTGTTATTGTATCGCTGTTGGGTAAACATTTCAATACCGATTCTTCATGTTTGCAATTCTTGCTTCAACAGGTCTACGTGAAATATTACACTAATAAGATAATTTCTCAACAACTTTGTCGTGAAATACCTTTGATATTCGACTGCATTGATGTCGTGCGTTAAACATGTAACAATCTTCAAAACATGCCTCTATTTATCACTTATTTCCGCATTTATTGCTTCACTTAACTTATTTTATTAATTAAAGGGTTGTTGAATTCGCTCAGACAACTTTATTGTGAAATTCGGTGCCTATTCACAGGAGTATGTTATTATACTACATGTACTTGTAAGTTTCCTGTTTTGTCGCAAAAAAATGTTTCCAAAAAGGATTTTGAAAATATGTAATGAATAATTTGAAATGTGTTCATGTTAGTGTATCCCGTTTAATTGCAGGATGTTGCTGTGATTTAAAGTACCACTAAAGCCATATACTACAGAGACTATCGGGCAGGAAAACGAAAGATTTGTTCAGTGAAAATTATAGATTCATTTCAAAAACTAGCAAATGCAACAAGAGATCACATAACACGGTCAGATGTATAATGGAACAATTTAGTTTCAAGCATAGTTGTGTAGATAAGTTTATTGCTTGTCGGATATAGTATAACTCTAGTGTTCTGTTTTCTTGTACATGAACCCATCGGTCCTGAAGTGCTCACACGAACAAAATTACAGCAAAGTCTGCATTTTAAAAAATACGCATCTCTCTGTGATTTTACTGTAATTATTTAGCATTACTTATGTTACTCCCAGAGTTGATGTGCATTTACATAACATGTTATCAGCTGATAATCAATTCTAGTTCAATAGATAACTTAAAGGTTTGTGTAACGTCCTAAAACATGCATAAATTACAATATGAATATACAATATCTGTTTGCCTAATAGGTAGAAGTAATATTTCCATACATTTCCTCTCTGTAAGTTTAAACATACCCTACATGTGTACCTGCATGATGTGTGTTGACAGCGTGAACACATGTGACACAGTCAGTAGACATGGAAGGTGATTGCATTACGAATCTTGTTTTCACTGATGTCAGCGATTTATAGAAGATTTACATAATAGTAAAAGATTATAGATATAAAATATCTAACGTAGAGGTGGGAAGGGAGGCAAAAAGTAAGAAATTGTAAACCAAAAGTAAATTTACTGTTCGCAAAACATGTCAAAATGACGTTACCCGGAAGAAATCTGATTATACCTGTTTAGGAAGAAACATGTTCCCTCCTCAAGTGTTTGCATTTTAACGTCAATAGCTCCTAGTCTTATTCACAAACACGATATAATGAATGACAAACAAGCTAAGGAGGACCAGAAGTGTAGTGATGTACTTATTAACTGAAATGATTGACCTTAGTTATAGCTATGCTTATTACCTTGTCAATATGTGATATCAGAAAGGTTGAGTGCTAAACACAAATATTTCCTATTTTCGATAGCAGTGCTCATATGGATGATTACGTAATACTAGGTAATTGGGAGAGAGTGTTGTAACCTTGTATAATACCCTGACAAAGAAGACATGCAGACCATAATTTATATGCTTAGAAGAACATAGGTAAATCTGCCAGACAAATGAAATGGAACTAATGTAAATTCGATTACAATGATAACATTCACACTAAAGAAATATTTTTTATGTTTCTCTTGAATCATATATACAGCAAGAACCAAGGATGAGTTTCTCGCCACGAAATATAGTATAATTTATGTATTGCATTAAATGACAAAATGGAAATATTTAATTCTTATACGTGGATACAACGAAGTCGTAGTATACCATAACATCTGTTTATTTACAGTAAAATGCAACTTCATAATGTTAATTATATCTGCCATTAGGCATAAGTACAAAATATCTATAAGGAAATATGGTGACTTATTATGATAATGCAAGATTATATAGCAAGTTCCGATAAAAAGAAATAAAAAAAAACTACACTTAAAAGTGGATTAAGTTACATTTACAAGGAAACCAAAACAAGAGCCGTTTTGCTGGTGTGACATGGTAACAAATTCCTGATAATGGACTTTTTATTTACAATCACTTCACTTCAGAATGTATGGATATTTTGTTGTTAACAACGTACACCACGTAAAATAAAGGACAACAACAAAACCTCATACCCAGTGAATACGAATATTTTTCAATGGTACAGTACTCATTATTCTCCACTGAATGTTCTTACCTCTCATATTGTGTACAATACTGTTCTTCATCTTGTCGATCTGCATGTGCCTCAGCTGTTCTCGTAATTGTTTCTCCTCCCTTCCGAGATTTGCTGCTGCCATCTTTCTCTCAGTTTCTATCCCCATCGTCTTCTTCTGAAGAGAGTTCCTACGTGCGGAGTTCTTTACCCGGCAGCCACTGTAGCTCTTGCTGCTTTCCCTGATGTATCGGTCCACATCCCCCTCCTTCATCGCCTGTTGTTTTTCCTATCGAGGTTGCAGGACAAGACACGAAATTGTAATCTAGATTACAAAACTTTTGCACAACCTTTCACCTATGGTATTGTTTCCAGCTCAAATAGTATATCTCAAATAGTTTTCTTAGTCATCCAAGTAACATTGCAAATTTTCATTCAAAAAGGGTTCACAGTAAATTCTGTAATGCTACATAAAACCGACGGAATTATCAGTATGCATTCGCTAATCCATTAGAAGATAAATAGACTGTATGCAATAGGTTTTGTTTTTCTATTCCTTGGCTTTATGAATCCCCAACGCTGTACATGAAGATGAGTTTTGTCCGTGTTATCTGTCTGCCGTGTCTACATTGTCCTTCCGGCCTGGCATTAATGTACTATCTGTGTTACGCGAGAGTCAATATATGATCATCAGTCACTGGCTATCTGGACGACTGCCGATCGACTGTGTCGTCGGTAGGTACACAGGTAAACACACCTTTACCTATATTTGCGTTCGATATATGTAAAATCAATGGGTTAATTGTGACGGAAACCTTTATCGTTAAGCAAATAATTTATGTGAAATTTACAATGTAATGGCTTTGGTATTACCTTGTTTGATAACGGACATAGCTTGTAGCATGAAAATGCAGATACTACCTGTTAAGACCCAACATCCGTCCTTTCAAGAATTGTTTTAGTTGACAGACTTTGCACTTGAACTTGTTTTCTCCTGTTTAATTTATACCGATGGAATGATCCTCACAAATTCCGCTACTCCCTTGTACGTAAATTGCATTATGCTCAACGCACGTGTGGTGTTTACAGAACCAATTAAAACGGGACCAATTTTTGTGACGTTGTACAAAATATTGACTCAGAACAAACAATCTGCAGGCGGCCTCCTCGTACTAGTACGTCCACCTTTACTTTCACCACGCGTTGGAACCTTCTTATAGATTCGCCCCTGTCAAACTGTCTCCAAATATCTTTTAATCAAAACAACACGCAGACTTTTGTAAAATTTTGACAGAAAACGTATACTATAATCAAAGGTGATTTTAATCACTTTGCGGTAAACAGGTTTGAAGACATTTAACTGACTCAACAGGTCTCTTGGCTCTCAACTAAGAAAAGGTTCTTTATACCTAATTTCAGTCTTCGGTTCATTAAAGTGGAAGCCAAGGTCGATTTTCATTTTTGATGTTTCAAAATTTATGCCTTAATACACCAACTTTTTTGTCTTTTTTTTTTAATTTTAAAGGCTTATGGTTAAGTGAAAAGCATATGGTTTAGTAGCGATAACATATAAGAAACGAATGGCAGGGGAATTAAGGTGGAAGTATGTTTACATAAGACTTGTGAAAACGGTAGGATCAATTCTTGACTTCATTATGTATTTTCTGTTATTTAAGTTAAACAAAAGGTTTAAAGCACACTCTATCTGATATTTCAAGTATCAAGAAATCAAACTTAATCAAAATAAACAAACATGTTGATGTACTTCATAATTACGTCAAAAGTCTCTCGAGGAGTGACATCATGTAAATGTATTCAGAGCTAACTACTGCGACAAAACATCAGCGGTTGATTTTTCGTGCCCGTACCACAAGTACTTCGCACAGCAGGGGCAGGCAAAACATGACGTTATTGAATTGTTGTGTCGCTCTAAAAACGTCAGACTAACTAATAAGGACACCAAACTCTGATTGTACATGTTTAACATATATCATTTTTAGATATGCACTCTCGTTTACTTCTCAAGCATGACCAAGAAAATAAAGTAAACTTCAATAGAAAAATACATTTTGTAATTGTTCAAAAATAATACAGAACAAATTGACATTTCAAAGGTGCATTAAAGTATTGGTACACCAATTATACCCAGTCCGTAGCTATCGTAAAACTGTAAGAAAGTTTAGAAACCAGGTGGGTGTTTTCTGAAATGCATTATCAATGTCCTACACATAAATACAGTGGTAGATATATATTTAGGATCACATACAGATACAATCACTATATACAATTACGGAATTTCCGTTCTGGTCGATAGTTTACGGAGTGCAAAATGTGATCAATTGTTAAATGCGAAATAATTCTGAGTATTGTGCTGATTAGTGTTGAAGTACTCATTCGATTTCCGTGACGTATGATGTTGTTTTACCAAATAACAGCTGCCAATACTTTTCTTCAATGCTCGTGACTGACTTGATAATTAGCTCAAACTAATTATGTAATTATCGATATCCGGACATTACCTCTGTACCTGCAAACTCATTGTGTGTCTAAACTACATCGATTTACAATTTGCTATTGTGTTGTCGGAAGTGTCAATAAGTTCAAACGATGTTGATGCCATACATTACGATAAACTGTTTTAAATCGAATCACTTGTGTTTGTTTTATCTTCTGGTATTATCTAACTTCAAATCATCTATGTTAAAACACTTATCCCGTATCACATCGTTCAATTTTGCTGGCAATAATTAGTTTCACTAAGCATTGTATATATCATCACCATCAAGGTGATCAAAACAGTTTGAACACATCTACAGGTTTTAAGGTAAAATACTCCAGTCATGGTAGGACTATGAACTTCCTAAAACCGTACATTGTTATATAGTATGCCATGTACATTCTTTCTTCTCAGATGACAACGATGAATGTCGATGCTTGTCTGTAAGTGAAAAGGACGTCGGATTCAAAATTATAGCACAATATATAGAGGTGTACTAAATATGTGATCGAGGCTGGATAGAAAGTGATTACCTAAATGTATAATATTCTGTAACTTTCAGATAAATACTGACTGTCTTTAGTAGCGAAAGAAATAAAATCTTACACAAATTGTCATTCTTTATACAACACAACACCGTTAAAGTGTCAATCCTTTTGCCTTTTCACGAATTGTAAGATATCTGCAGCAATTTATCAGTATAAGTTAGTCCAGTTTTTAACCCAACGTTTGATTTTGTCATCATCTTGTTTACAAATTAGTGTATCGAGATGACAACTAAAAAATTCTACAGATCTGTAAGATGTACTGACCTACCCACTGTGGTTTGAAACATAACTTATTCTGGGGCTGGTGTCACATACGTTAGTGATAATATAAACATCAAATGCTCACAGATAATCAAATATTCGATCAATTGATGTTCCTGTATACTAGAGCTGTAATCAACTCCTAAGAAGGTCGATATATTGCCTGGTGTAACCTAAGAAAATGTCACAATATAAAGAAATGGTAAGCAGATTCAGCATGGTCGATAGAGGGATGAATGATAAATAGAAAACGTGGTGAGTACAACTCAGAGAATGAAAGTCGACATCCTTATTGCACATCAGATTTAATTACCTGAATTCTTAGTAACTGTACTTATATCCTTGTCTTTTGATTACAACCATGATTCCTTTTTAGTCTTGCTCATATTCCTCCACCCACAATCCATCTACTCCACATTTATCACGTGACATCACACGGAAGAAAAACAATAAACTATGTATCAATTGATACTGTCCTATTAAATTACCAGGTTAGATATCATTATTTATCATGTACATGACAACTTAACAATTTATAGATATTCCAGGAAACACCATGTAGAATATGAAACGTTTACGCCATTGTCGTATGAATGTATATCCATCATTTTATCAATTTTATCAACTTTTAATCCGGATATAACACCTTCCATACTGTTTCCAATGGCATGTGTTGTTTCGGTCGAAATTATCTTTCATTTCTTGTCTGCCTTTGATTTTTGTTTCCGCTTTCAAGGTATTCGGTCTGTCATCCTCGAAATCCGAGAGGTTACGAACACTCACGATCTCTGTCACCCCTGGAGTTTTGGAATTTCGAGGATGGGTTTGTTAACTTAGAAAGTAAATTGCCAGAATTTACTGACAATTGATATAAACAATGCAAAGAATAGATATTACCTGGTTTCATGACCTGATAATGCAAGTCTTGGTCAATGCAAGCAAGTAATATCACGATCTCCAAATAATTCTTGTCACGTAAGATGTATTATAAAAGTAGGCCTAAAAATATGGTATATTCAACTCGTGAAATGAGCAATCTACTTTTTGAACCAAAAAGGTCTAAGTAAAACAAATATATCCCTACTACAAAGACAGATTTTGGACATTCTACTTACCGTTAAGGTAGTTATGTTCAAGGTGTTCTATTTCGAGTATACACTGAAAATAAAATAAGTATATGAAATTGCAATCACTTTCACGGTTTCCAGACAGTATATTCAGACAAGGTCAAGTGTCTTTCCTGTGTTTTATCTCAACTGTGTTAACTAAGTATTGATCATCAGAACATATATATTTGTTTTATTAAACAGTACATAGATAGAAAGTAGACACGGTATACTGGCAGGTTTTAATAACACCATACCGGTGATTTTTGTTTGACACAAGTAATTTTATTGACTGATTTTTACTCGCCCGTTGAGAGACAGAAATAGTTACAAGGTCAGAGTCTTAAAATATAGCACGGGTAAAGAAAGACAATATGGTCAAAACAGCGATTTCCTTAAAATATTCTTGTTCATTGTGCGATATGACATTGGGTACGTTGGATTTTCGTTTGCATGCCTTGTGGTTCCGTTGTTGTATATCATGTTCTCATTTTGGGAACGTGACATTACTTTCTTGGATTGACCAAAATTGACTTTGCGGATGCAGCTTGAATCAGCAGAAGTTACCCATTTGAGATGTGTGTATTTTTCGTGGTAATCGTATAAATCTCTTGCTATAACTTCATTGAAAATGAATTAAAGATTCTGTGACAAGTCTGTATTTTCTTTGTTGGTTTAACATCCATTTATATCTAGTAGAGAAAAAGGAAAGCTGAATTGTGAGGCTTTAATACACATAACCTTCTGGGTCGCATTAACATAAATGTGACGTTGTATGTTATTGTCTAGTAAGGCTTGTCGTCACCATATGTTGTTCTCACGACAGTGTATCGTTTTGATTTTGACACGTGCATAACGTAGG